TGGACCGTCGAGTAAATTAACTTGCACCATGCCCCCTATCGACGGCCCAGTGAAAACAAGCCAGGGTTGTGCGAAAGCCGACCGACTGACAGACAGGCCCAGTGAAAACAGGCCCTTGGTCGTGCGAAAGCCAACCAGACTCGACGGCCCAGTGAAAACAGGCCTTGGATTCTGTGAAAACGAATCCGCCTCGTTGTTTTGTTTTTCTTGTGCTATTTGCTGGATTCTATACTCATTGGTATAGTTTCGCACGCAGCTTGGAATTTTTGTAATGATATAATAAAAAGTTCCGATTTTTGTAATTTTTCCGCATTCATTTTATTTATTTCTTGGAGTTGTATCGACATCACTATCGGTTACACACGTCGAGGTTGTACGATTAAACGGCAAGAAACTTATCCCAAGTCGAAGACCCAACAAGAAGAAGTTCTAATTCCTGTATTCCAGTTTGTTCATTGACATTTTACATTATTATAGAGTTCATTTAGTTCAATTCTTTTTCATTTACTTCCGTCGATTAATAAAATTGTGTATCGAATATTTTTCTTTACGCGTTCGTGTGTTACTCAGTAAAATCATATAATTCGAAAAAGCCCAGTGCCACACAGGACTGGTCGAACTCACAATAAAAATATACACAAAAATTATTGTCGGACCATAAAAAAAATTCCCTGAGAAAGGTAGAGGAGGAGATTACCTCACACCACCAGTTGTTTTCATTAAAATTTCCGACAATATACATATTTTTGTACATACATATCTGTATTTCTATGTAATATATCATTGGTATTATGTTTATAATTAAAATTAATTTGTTCAAGGCTTGTTTAATGCAAAATAGGATTATCGCTAATTTTCTTATTTAGAAAAATAGATGTTTAGATGTACGAATGGAAAAATGAAACATTCAATCATTTTTCAATACTTGGACAAAAAAGTACAAAAATTGGTACACCTAGTTGCACATGCTATGTGTGTTGAAAAAAGCCAATGCAAAAATATTAGAGTTTAACTGATAACAAGTTACTAAACTTTTAATTTTTGTTACATTTTTATGATAGATCTGCTTAAAACGAAAAAATTTATAATATAGTATTATATAAATTTATAAAATATAATGAAACATTAGCTTGAAAACACGAAAATTTGGTAGACTTGTATTCAGTATACTTTTTCTTCAGTAAACATTAATTATTTTCTACTACTAGTCCTCACTCATTAATTTCTAACTTTTTGTTTTCGATTACCGACAGCCATCTCTTTATTTTAATCAAATGAAGTGCCTTGTATTTAATTTTATCTGGAAATAAGGCAGGAGCTATAGTCACTTTCAAACCAAAACAAATTGCGAGGAGAAATATCCATTAGGTTTTAAGTTATTTATAAACAGCTTAATATACATAGTCTATTGATCATAGAAAATAGATTTTTATTGTTTTCTAAAACTTTGACTTGCTATTAAACACTTTTTCTACATATTTTGAAAAATTTTCTATTATTTTAAAACTTGATTATCAAATTTATTGTTAGCCCACAAATGAGCGACCATACAAAAAAATATGCAAATTAGTTTGCCTAAGTCCTAACTGATGTGAGTGTAGGTTAAAATATACAGCATCTTTATAAATGATATTTCTTGTAGAGACTAGGTCTGTCGGCCGCCACCGTCAGTCGCCTTCAAAATTATCGCTGTTAACTGTCAACCGCTAAATAAGTTTGGTGAATTTAAAAATAAAAATTATTGAATTAGAAAAAGTTCATAGAAGAGCTACCAAAATTTCAGTCTTGTAAACATTTGCATTTGAACCCAAGATTTGAAAAAGTAAACCTCCCATCTTTCGATTAACGCAAAATCAAAATCTGGTCTATCGAATTCTTCATAGTATGGTGCGATTTGCCTACACTTGTGCAGTAGACCTGATATCAACACCAGATGTCATCAGCTCAGCCTATGTACCCGACTGGCAAAAAAGGGTTTAGAAAATATTTTTTCTCGAATCGAGTTGTTAGTCCTTGGAACGTGTTGTTAATGGTCTGTCACTGGACATTAAAAAACTGTACTTGATTTTTTTTCCGGTGATAAAAAGTATTCAACATCTTAATATTAGTTTGTCACGTGTTTAATTTTACTTTTGTTTATGTCATTTCAGTTTTGGCAAAGAGCTTTGTCCAAGCATTTCTTATTTTAATAATAAATTTATATTAAATAATAATAATAATAGATCTGCTTATAAACGAGAAAATTTCTAATAGAGTATTTGTAAAAATTTATAAAATACTAGGTTACCCGGCAGTCACTGTCTAGGTTACTGTCTCAATCGATAAATAAGAGCTAAACTTTTGTATAAAATAATTTTAAAAGAAACAAAACGAATCGGTATTTAATAAAATAGCATTGACAGACACATTGCTATGAAACAGTTTGTTAATCTATTTAAAGCTTTCTGATAAACTAAATTTTTAGTTTTGTTTTGTGGTGCATAAATAAAGAAGATGATTTTCCGACTCGCGAACACGCGACGTATAATTGTCTAATGCGCGAAACAGGGAAACTCCAAATTGATTCCGCAAACTTCTAACGATTGTCCTTGCGATTTATTTATGGTCATCGCAAAGCCAAGACATACTGGAAATTGCAAGCGTTTAAAATCGAATGGTAAATCCGTTGGAATCATCGATATCCGCGGGATCAAGACATCCTCTCCTTTGTATTTTTTTTTATGATTATTGCCTCAATGACGTTAGTCATCAGCTTTTTCACAGCCGGTCTTGTTCCATTGTACATTCGAGGTTGATTAATGTTACCCTTTTGAATCTGTAATGTGACAAAAATCTCTGGGTAACGTGATGAATCCGCAACTTTATTATAATTTCAAATGTCTAGCAACTGCTTTTCAAACACATTCGCAGTTTCATCTTTTTGCAAAAATACTCGCATGTTAGTTTGGAATGTCTTTACATACATACTGCCACAAATTGCATTTAGTTCATCAGCAACAGTTGATCGGGGAATAACTGGAAGAGTCTGACGAAAATCACCTGACAACAGAATCATGGCCCCACCAAAAATATTTTGGTCGTCACGAAGATTTTTCAACGTTCTGTCCAGTGACCTCTTATGGGCCATTGTGCATTCATCCCAAGCAATCAATTTGCATGCTTGTAGGATCTTGACTATTGCGCTATTTTTGGCATTGTTGCAAATTGGTGTTTCGGTGATTCGCATGTTTAATATTAATTTCAAGGCAGAATGTGCAGTGTCGCAGCTATTCCAGATGAAGCCAACGCTAGAGCAACATCATTTCGCCATCTGATCCTCGCCAAAAGCAATGAAATTAAGAACGTTTTTTCGATTTCTCCGGGAGCATCAAAGATATAAATTCCACCAGATCCACTGTTCACGGCTTCTATCAAAGTGTTGTACGCAATTTTTTGTTGTTGATTTAATTGTGGAACATTTGTATGAACTGTTTCGGTCAATGCTATAATGTCGTATTGTTGTTCTCTTTGCAACTCGTGGTTTAATGCATTGTGCTTATGACGATTTGGTGCCGTCATTTTCAAACACGACAATACTTTATTTGCCATCAATAAACACATATCTTCTATCATGATAAATGTCTCATTGTAAATTTCTGCTGTCATTTGTAGTTTAAGATTCAAGGTATGACGACGCACACGATGTAAACATCCTCAGACATATCATCTCTATACTTAACCCACAAATCTTTTGGATTCGAGAAAATATGTCGCAAACTATGTACGAATTTGATGCAGCAATGAAGATATTACTGAATCCTTGAGCGTGTCATTCCAGTGCGAATCGTTCTCAATTAAATGCAATAGTTGACATGCCTCATGGTTTCGCATACAGCTGTCCATTAACTGTTCTCAGTTTATTAAACGATGTCGGACCACGAACATTTACCAACAACAACCGCAAATAATAACATTCATCGTTATTTGGATGTACTGTGTACATTTGGTTGTCCTTCAACTGGTGTTCCTTGTTTTCGAGCTGAAACGATTTCGATGATGCATTCCAGGTGTTATAGCGTGGCATGTCGACTCAGCATAGAGCAAAGTGCGAGCAAAATCATCAGTTTGACAGACAGAAACTTGTTAATGTTGTCGACGATGGACATGCCGCTCTGCCGCGTTCGATTCATTAAAATAAACTCTTTGACCATTTTCTAAATGGACTGCAAAATGGACTACTGTAGAGTGTCTTTCATGGATCGCAAATGAAAAAATACGCCATATTGCTTCTTTGCTACTTACATATCTGGTACTGTGATATTTCATCATTTTCATTGGTTACAGCGAAGACAGCCGTTGTTAACATATTTACATATGTACTTTATCGACTTCGCAGAGTTACAATATTCTACTTTGATGTGAGTTTCTAAAGCTTTGGACAATATTAGCGAGTATGGCACAATCCAACGATTGTCTACATCAACATTTTGTCCTTTTACCTTCACAACTACCTATCGCTCATTATTCGCAACTGATCGCCGACGATACAGTGGTTATCCATCATTTCCCGTTATGGTTTCAGCAAGCAGGTCTCTTGGGTATCGCTCTGAACACTTGCCGTACATGTAGTTGAAAAGTTCGCAAAGTCCAAGTATCATGTGTTTCGTAGCTACTGCATGCAATTTTGGGTCAACTGTTTCATCTGGAATTTCAGCCAAAATTATGGAATCTATCTCATCTGGCCTTATTTTGTCCAGTAAATAGACTAATATGTGCGCATGTGGCAGTCCAAGCTTTTGCCATTCTACATGATGCATCCAACAACGGACTGGGCGATACACACAATGCTATATTAAGAAATTCATGAGAGATTTTAATTTTGTTTAAAACTCTGGCAGTTATGTCATGTCTATCAACTGGTGTTTGGCTGTAGCAATTCCCTCTTGATTTCTAACTATTTTGGGTTACTTGTGAATGTAACAAATAAGTCTGAGCGGCTATAATGCCTATCATATGACATAGCATCCTGAGTATATTCGTGCATGTGGCGTGGGCTTCCTATATGTGGTTGGCAAAATTGTCATTCTTCCCACATTATTTCATTGTCAACCGCATTTATAGCATCGCGGCGATGAATGTATTGTTATAATACTCGCTATCGTAACCGATTTACGATGCGACGGGTTCAAATCCTCGATTGAATAAAATATTCCAAACAGTTATTAAACTTTATTTACAGAAGAAATCAACTATTATTAGTTATTAAACTTTATTTACAGAAGAAATCAACTAATCGTTTATTTCCAGTAAGTTCAAACTAACGCAACAATTAACTTTTAAATCGTTCAAAATCGATCGCTATGACAACGTCAACAAACAAATCAAATATCGCTTTAAATAATTCACCGAATTGCTATTCACAAAATCACGAATATCACTAATCACGAATATCACTAATCACGAATCTCTTGCGACGTGGGCTTATTTACTTTTCGCAAGCGTCGTTTCTAGATTCTTCCAGATGGTCCGATTCCAGTATACTCTAGAACGTTCCAGTCACTAGAACATTCTAGAATCTAGTGCGTTCGGTAGCACGGTTATAACAGTATTCTTCTGATCGTAGTGGCTGTCGTTGATTCAAACGGATGTATTCAATCGTTCAGTCTCAATTTTGACATACATGTCAAATGTAAACTGATGAAAAAGTCTTAGACACATCAAAATATGATTTACTTCAACTTGACGGATCATTAGTCTGTATGAATAAAAATTCATAGCACTAACTTTTTTGTTGGTTTCAGCACCTGCAATGCAAAATGATAAATGTTTAATTTGTTATTTAGATGAATTGAATTAAAAAATATTATTTAATCTTGTTCACTTTATTTACCTGAATATGTATGTTTGCTTTCGTGTGTATGTTGTGTTTGTATATAAGAGTATTTACAGAAATCGATAAAGAGATATATATTCAATTATGTTAAATTTGAGTTAATTTATTGAGATTATTATAAGAATGTAATGTAACAATGTTTTATGCTGGGTTTGAAACTAGTGTTGGCAAGCTAATGAAGCAAGTTTTATTATAAAATGTAACGAATGCAAAAATCGCTAGATTTTTGTTTTTAAATATGGCCGAATTTGAATAAATCAAATTTACATGTAAATTTTATGTAAATTAAATTAATGTATTTAACTCAATACTATTTTAGTTGGAATCACAAATTTTGATATGCATTATGGAAAAAAATAAATAAAAATTAATTGCAAACGATTTAAATGCAAATCCAAAAGATTAATGAAGCAACTTTTGATAACCTTAAAATTGATGTAAACTAATGTTTAAAAGTGTGTTATTGAAATAGTACTGCCGAAGTTAATTGAGAGTTTTTCTGTATTGAAAGGATGGAAGAAAAGTATAGGATGAAGATAAGTGGAGCTTTAAATGTATATGATAATGATTATTACGTTTAATATTATAATTATTATTTTATTTATAATTTATCTTCATCTATATTGACTGGATGAATTAAGTAAATTAATTCTAAAGCTTTGGTATTCTCTTAAAATTTATTGTTCAACATCATAGGGTTGAAAAATACAGACCAGAAACACTTGATGATCTTATATCACATAAAGAAATTATTTCAACGAGTTAGTTTTGCAAGTTATTTTTAATTTAATTTTTTTTGTTGAGTTATTATGTTTTATCTTTTGATTTGGTTGCTTTTATAACTTGTTTGAAATCTTTACGATGAAACGTTTAGTTATTTTTCTCACGATAGATTTTGATTTTTGCCATCACTTAAACGTGACTTTCTCTTTTATCATTGCGTTTTTATACGCTTTTAGTCACTACCAAGTTTCATGCTCGTGTTGATGCTTCGTACTAGTTTTCCGCATACTGTTATTACAGAAGTCATCAAAGTAGTTTTGTACGGTTTCCAAGGATGTGCGAAAAGTTGCGATTGAACGACATCGGTTTGCGTTTGATGGTTTAGCTGTGTTGCGATTAGATGTTGAATATTTTTGCTACGTGCAATGTTTTTAAATTTAGACTTTTCAATTTTCTGAAACAGTTCTTTAGCTATATGTCTTAACATTTCAATAATCAAGTTCGCCACAAGTAATGGGTATTAAAGGCAGCATAATTAACCAAGTATAAATTTGATATCTTTAAATAGCGATCATCTCTGTGATCCGGCATTTCGCGTTCCAAGTCTGATTAACGTAGAAGGCTCGGTTGGAATTTATCTGCAGAAACTTTCCATTGTTGCATACTTCCCAAAGATTCTTTGCACCCTTTGATTACTAAAAGCCTGCTGGGGACTAAAGGTCATTGTATTTATTTGTGACTATATTGAATGATATTGGGGCAGTTTTCTGTCCAAGCTAAGCAACGTAATAATGTTCTAAGATCATTCGCCATTAGCGCAGTTGTTTGTTTAGAATCTTTTAACCCTCCGGTCTGTGGCACCTTTTTCAGTATTATTCGGTGCAACTCCGAGAAATCTCTTTTCCCAGGACGTTTTTTTGTCCGCCAGCTATGGGATCTGCCTCTACGCCGTTCTATCCCCCGCCATGACCGATTGCCTAAAACAAGGAGGCGTAAGTTAGCTGGTAGAACTGACGCCCTTAGTACCGTGATTAAAATCTGTAAAGGAACCTCCCACAACAATGTCAATGCTCTTTCCCGTCGACCCTTTTGGAATACTGCAGTCGACTGGAAGAGAGAGACTGGAAGATAGAGGATGTGCGAAAAGTTGCCATTGAACGACATCGTCCACCGAATTCAAGGACATCGGAAACAGCGGTCAAAAATGAAGATTGCTTATTTGGACAGACTGGCTCCATTCTACGCAGACGTTGCAACAAACTCTTCGGGACAAACAGACTGAAAGGGGGCAGTGTTATAACCATCAAAAATGGATTCGCTGGAGGCGCTTATGTCGCTACGAGCTATTCGAGAAAGAACTAGAATCTTCTAACAGCAAGATATCTGGGACGTTTGAGAAGTGTCGGTAAGATGAGTTTATAAAGAAGTACGAGATATTGAATGGGTTGTTTGTTGAATATTTGATATTGGAAGCGATTGTAGTGTCAAAATCGATATTTGCTATTTGACTCTGCGCTGTATTCGCTGTGAAGTGTTATTCGGAACGTTAATTTGATAGTTTGTCAACATTATTAGTACAACAGTGGACAACTAGTCCACAAGTCAATAAATCGTCTTGCACAATCTTATTTAGTCAGACAAGTTTGCAAAAAAGTTTTCAGCATCAGACATCCTATAATCTAAACCTGCTACTAGTTCCAGTCTTCATACGAGGTTTCGTAAAATCGCCGTCTCAAAACCATCAGTTTGGAACAATTTGCTTGCCTTTCTGAGAGATCGGAGACCTGCTTGATTTTAAAGAAAAACTGAAAACTTTTTTATTTTCGTCGTTGTTTGATGATTTTTTTTTCCATAATGCTGTGTTTGACTTGGTAAAAATTGATAACTTTTTGTTTTGGTAATAGTGGATTGATTTTTTTTAGTTTATTTTGCCATGTTTGATTAAGGAAAGACTTTAGATTTTTTTTTTTTTTAGTTTTTTTTGGTTGTAATACACTGATTTTCCTTTATTTTTGTTGATTATGCCATGCTTAATTGATATTATTATGATAGCGCTGTTGAAATACTTTGAAATTTGAATTGGCATTTTTTTAATTTTTCATTAGTAATAATTATAATAATACTAGTGCAGTTGTTTTTTATCACGATTTATTAATTGCAAATTAATTGTAAATTTTAATTTTGATGAATTTAGTCATTGTAGAAGTTCATTTATTATTTGATCATTTTCTTCGTATGTAACATAAATATATCATCAACATATCGGCATATATATATATATATGTTGGTAATAGACCATAATTTTTCTCACTAAAGTTTTTTGGTGAAACGTTCACCAAAAAGAAAAATCGAAAAAACGAACTACAAACATATTAACGCCAAACATTCGGTAGAATTTATAGAATATTGTAAAAAATATATATATATTTATATATATTGTCGGAAAATTTATAAAATGAAAACAATTAAAACAGCTGGTGGTGTGAGGTAATCTCCTCCTCTATCTTTCTCAGATAATTTTTTTTTTTTATGATCCGACAATAATTTTTGTGTATATTTTTATCGTGAGTTCGACCAGTCCTGTGTGGCACTGGGCTTTTTCGAATTATATGATTTTACTGAGTAACACACGAACGCGTAAAGAAAAATATTCGATAACAATTTTATTAATCGACGGAAGTAAATAAAAAGGAATTGAACTAATGAACTCTATAATAATGTAAAATGTCAATGAACAAACTGGAATACAGGAATTAGAACTTCTTCTTGTTGGGTCTTCGACTTGGGATATGTTTGTTGCCGTTTAATCGTACAACCTCGACGCGTGTAACCGATAGTGATGTCGATACAACTCCAAGAAATAAATGAAATGAATGTGGAAAAATTACAAAAATCGGAGCCTATGGAAATTCCAAGCTGCGTGTGAAACTATACCAATGAGTATAGAATCCAGCAAAGAACCCTAGGTCCACAAATAGCACAAGAAACAAAACAACGAGGCGGATTCGTTTTCACAGAACCCAAGGGCCTGTTTTCACTGGGCCTGTCTGTCAGTCGGTCGGCTTTCGCACAACCCTGGCCTGTTTTCACTGGGCCGTCGAGTCTGATCGGCTTTCGCACGACCAAGGGCCTGTTTTCACTGGGCCTGTCAGTCAGTCGGTCGGCTTTCGCTCAACCCTGGCCTGTTTTCACTGGGCCGTCGAGTCTGATCGGCTTTCGCACGACCAACACAAAACAACAAGAGTCAGAACAACACTGGAAACAAATTGTGTGACTTTAGTACGCGTGCGAAACTATGCCAATGAGCATAGAGTCTCGTACCAAATCCACTTTTGAGAACTTAAGACGTTTCTGAAACTATGCCAATGAGCATAGAATCACGCATTAAGTCTCTTAGATACCAGAATAGGCACTGATTACTCGAAGCTGCCTAACTGGTGAACCCAAGGCTGACTCTTTGAGAACTTAAGACGTTTCTGAAACTATGCCAATGAGCATAGAATCACGCGTTAAGTCTCTTAGGGACCAGAAGAGGCACTGATTATTCGAAGCTGCCTCACTAGTCAACCCCGTCTCTCTTTTTTTTCCTTTTCACACCCTTCCTTATCAAGGCAAAATTAGATTTTGTTTCGGGTGTTTTAAAATATAAAAATTTACAAGGCATGTCCAATTAATCAGAAAAAGTATTAATTAAATTTTAAAATAATTTGTAATAATTTATGACGTCATCTAAATTGCAAAACAAAGAAAATCGTCATCACCTATCGAGTAAATTAACTTGCACCATGCCCCCTATCGAGTGAATAAATTTCGCGTTGAAAATTTTGCAGTATTTTTAGTCAGTATTATTTCATAATTCTGACACTATATATAATAATAATATGTATATTACATATTACTATTAATATATTATATGTATATTCATCTTTTTTTTATCCTTATTTTTCTTGCAACTTATTACCGCTTGTTATCGTCAGAAAATAATTGTTTTTCAGTCAGTAAATTTGTTAGTGATAACCGTTTGCCCCACTTGCTGTTTTATGGGCCTCCTGGTACTGGAAAAACGAGTACAATCTTAGCTATTGCTAAACAGCTGTACAACCTACAAGAATTCTCCTCCATGGTTCTTGAGGTTGGATATATGTTTATTTCAAGCATTTCTTTTTTTAGTCTTATGTTTTCATTAGAGCAAATTTTTAAATAATGGTGCACGTCAGTATTAAATACTGTTTAACAATCACTTCCAAAGTTTGAAAACAGAGCCATTGTTGTTTATAATCATGAAAAACATAAAAAGAACAACTTTTCGAAAATTCACCCCTCTGATGTTGTGATTTTTAAATATGAGAAAATTTGAAAAATATCGTTCATTGAAAGACTTGTGTGAAACCAACTAGGTTTCAACCCAATTAGACCTATTTTATTATTTTTATCTGATTGGTTGGTTAATCTCCTCAATCTCAATCACCAGTTTCTGTTACAATCTGCAAATATGCTCGAAGTCGCACGATCGCCAATATTTCACAGCGCAACTCCATAATCCTACAACCTTTATACATAGCTTACATATTTTTATATACCTTTAGTCTAGTCATAGAAAGTGTAACAAAAATAAAAAATTATTCTATAATTTAATTGCAAAATAATCGTTTTCCACGATAAAATATATATGGATAATTGTATATATATTTATATAATCAATCAATCAATCTTCGTTTTGCGTCCAGAGACCCAGTTTCCGAGATAAGACATCAACTAATATTTATTTATTAAATTAACAAAATGCTTCTTAATGTTCATTTTACTATTATTAAAAAATAACAGATATAATAAATAAAAATAAAGATCATTAAATTAAAGTTAATAAAATTAAAATAACCTATTTGAAACAAAAAACTTTTATCAGCAGAATTGCCATCATCATTGTTAATTTTAAAAGAATAAATTTACTTTCAGAAATATCGTAGCTTTAGTAACCGATATAAACTAATAAACAATTTGAATAATAATACCTAAAGTCTTTATATTTGTGATTTAAAATCGACAAAGGCTCTACTCTTTAAAGTCCAGCTGGATTAGCGAGCGCTTAACCCAGGTAACACGAGATGACAGTTCCCGTTACCAAGCAGCCTAGGAGAAAGTCAACTTTGAATCCAAAACCCGGAGCAGGCACACCTCGATACAAAACTCTGATGGATCGAGCTCGTCTAAGAGAAACGAAACCCGCATTGAAATCAATATTCATTAACCGTCAGGCCTCTGCAGTTTCAGTCTTTTTTAGTGCCATGCAATAGACAAATAAACCAGTGCAATGAACGTTTAAAATAAATTTCAAGCAATCTAACACCACGTTAGCTTAAACTGTTCAGACATCATCAGAAAATTTAGATGTCCTGTTCCATCGCAGCCAATAGCGACAAAATGATTCGAGTGTTAGGTTTTTTCTTCATAAAATTCAATATTTCCTGTTTAATGCTTTTTATTAACTGGAGCAACGTCCCAGTCAGTTTCAGTGAGATTCTTTTGAGTTTGCCAATATTAAAGATTACTCTCTATTGCGTTTGCTTCACCGACATACACATGAATATATGAATAAGCGTGAAAACCATGCATCATACACATTGCATAGGTGGGGATCTCTTTGTATTAGGACCCAATCACTGCAGCAGCAAAACCAGTCCTTTAACCATTGAGCCATCACCGCCATATAACTGGTCAAGCTTTTTCCTAATCCAATGTTTTGTCTTTTTTTTCTTCAAAACGTAATATCGGCAAATTTTGTGAGCAGACTTTACGCAGACTTTCTTTCTTTTCGAAGTTTAGAACGATCTTTGGAAGTTTTTGGATTTATTAATTGGCGTCACAATTCCAAAATCTGCAAGTACGCATGATACAATCTTTGAGATATTCTATGTCTTTCTAAAGCTTGTGTAGTGTTTATCAGTTGATGTCTTTGTTGTGAAAATGGAGTTTGAACGAGTTCTTTGCCTTGCATTTTCTCGGAGTTTTCTGAAGAACTTTCATCCCTTTTAGTTTTCTTATTTTTTTCTAATTAAATAATTTTACACTATTGGATCGCAGTTTTTCAGTTTTTTTTGTTGTGCTTTTTGCATTAGAGATTATGTATCAATTGACCCAATCATCATTTTTTTTATCGTTATTTTAAAATTTTTTTTCAAGTGGATTTTTTATTTTTCTTATATCTGCAAACTGTTTTGTCTAAACACTTGCATCTAGCTATATCAAACAATCTTCAATTTTTTTAAGTTTCTACTCATAAAAGCATTTCTTTTACTTACAAGATATCTGATTTTAGATACCGATCGCGGTGGTAGCTTAAAAGTTGGATAATGCAATCAACTGAAACAGAATGTCTGAAGGCTAGGCCCACCGCTTATAACTGATGGTTGTCGTCAGGATGGGTGTCCGGATGTAAAAACTTTTCCCCAATTTATTCCTATGCCATCTCAAAGAAAAACAACGGCCCCTAGTCCCCAGCAGGCCTTAAGTGGTCAAGGGGTGCCAATAATCCCTGGGAAGTATGCAATAGTGGAGGGATGTTGCAGAAAAATTCAGAAAGGCCCCTCTATGGTACTTAGATAATGTTGGATCACTGACTGGCCGCAGCATGGAAATCGCAGAAATGCTCGAGCGTAGAAGGATTGACATCTGCTGCCTTCAGGAAACCCGACGGAAATCGAATGGTGTCTGTCATGTCAACTCAGACAAAGAAAAATATAAACTATTCTGGAATGGTCAAAAGACGGCCAAAAATGGTGTTGGAATTTTTTCAGAGAACCGCTAGCCCTAGAAGTACTGGATATTAAAAGGATTAATTCACGTCTCATGTGGATCAAGCTTTACATAGTAAAGCAAACAATGATTATTTTTTCTGCATACGCTCCACAGACAGGCGAATCAGAAGAGATGAAAAATGACTTCTGGACTGCATTCTCTGACACCATCTCAACAATACCAAAATCTGAAACAATCCTGATTGGAGGCAATCTCAATGTCCCACGTTGGAGAGAAAACAGATGGTTTTGACAACGTACATGGCGGTTTTGGCTATGGAAAACGGATTGAAGATGGCAACCGCATTCTTGAGTTTGCTGAAAGTCACAGGTTTTGTTTACTGAACACATATTTTGGAAAGAGGTTGGAACATCTCATAACATACAAAAGTGGACCATTAGCTACGCAAATTGATTTCTTCGCTGTCAAGCAATCACACCGAAGGCTGTTCAAAAACGTCAAAGTTATACCTGGCGAATCATGTGTCGCCCAACATAGACTCCTTGTGGCAGACCTGGTTGTCGAACTATCAAAACATAAGTCTAAACAAATGCCTCGGAGAATCAAAACGTGGAAGCTGAAAAGTTGCACTGGTACGAACAGATCGGTGCAGAGAGTGGCTCACTAAAAGCAAATGTGAACAAATGAAATATCTGTATCGTATAGCAAAACAAGCAAAGCGTACGAAAAAAGACATAGTTGGTGCCTCATGTATCAAAAATGACAAAAATGAGATGGTTCTTGAACAAGATGAGATCAAGCTACAGTGGAGAGAATACTTCAATCGTCTGTTAAACGAAACAAATCCCATCAATGTTAACTTTGACGCTTCACCCATCGAAGGTCCGATTCCAGACATCACTGTAGAGGAGCTTACAGAAGCTCTGAAAGCTATGAAGGATGGAAAGACAGCAGGGCCCTCTGGACTCGCAAATGACATTATCAAAGCATCTGGTACTGCAGGTATCCAAACGTTACTACAACTTTGCCGTGAAATCTGGAGAAATTGCTCAATGCCGACTGAATGGAACTATAGCATGACAGTCCCGCTATACAAAGGCAAAGGTGATCCATTAAACTGTTCATCATATCGGGGTATACGTCTGTTAGAACACTCCCTGAAAATTGTCGAAAAAATCATTGAGAGAAGATTAACGTCGTTTATCACAATCGGAAATTATCAATCTGGTTTTCTTGCGGGGAAATCAACAATTGATGCAATTCACATCCTTCGGTAACTGCAAGAGAAGTACCTCGCAAAGCATCAACAACTATCACATTTTTGTAGACATTGAAAAAGCATTTGATCGAGTTCCCCGTGAAGCAATCAAGTGGAGTCTACGTCGACAACTCATTCCAGAATATCTTGTTCGACCTGTGATGGAAATGTATACGAATACTAAGATTCTTGTCAGCACAACGGTTGGAAACACTGATGCATTTGACATCGGCGTTGGAGTTCACCAAGGCTCGATTCTCAGTCCACTGTTATTTATAACTGATGGAAGAAATCACAAAACCGATATGCACTGGTGACATTTGGAATCTAATATAGGCTGATGATATCGTTTTAACAGCCACGTCTGAGCAGAATGCAGCACAGATGTTTGAAGATTGGAACACCAGACTCGCCGATCATGGATTCATAGTCAACATCAGCAAAACCAAAGCAATGAACACTGGTGAACCCATCCAATCCACAGCTACTGGACGATGGCCCTGTTCAGTTTGTAAAGCTGGTGTAGGTAACAATTCAATCAAGTGTCAGCAGTGTAACCAGTGGTGTCACAAACGTTGTTCAAAAATAATTGGTACTTTATCTAAAGTGTCCAATTTTTTTTGTTCTGCTTGCATCAATCCACAACAACAAATTCGAAATAGCACTGTTTTTGAAGCCATTAAAATAGAGAAAGTCACATCGTTTCAATATCTAGGGGATGTTCTGGATTGTACTGGAACAGCTGAAGCTGCTGTTCGAGCACGCATACTTGCAGACTGGAATAAATGGCATCTCCTTGCCTCTATATTGATGCGGCGTGACATCCCACTACCACTACGATCAAGACATTATAAATCTGTGATACGTCCGGTGTTGTTATATGGTGCAGAAACATGGCCAATGACAACCAAACTGGAACAACAACTTCACCGAACCGACATGAAAATGCTCCGATGGATGCAACGAAGGACCACATCAAATCTACCGAAATCCTGCTTCGTGCTGGTTTAGATGTTATAAAAGACGACTGCCGGCAACACCGTCTGCGGTGGTTTGATCATGTCAAACAAAGTGGAAACAGTGCCATAACTTCTCTTGCAAATGTTGAAGTACCTGGCACACGTCCCAAAGGCCGTCCTGGTCGCAAACAATCGAGCAAGACATGAAAGCTCTAAATTTAAATGAAATGGATACAACTGATCGTCTAATTTGGCGCAAAAAGTTGATGGCAAAGAAAACAACGTCCTACCTCGAGAAACCGGGTCTCTGGACGCAAAACGAAGATTGATTGATTGATTAGTATGCATAAGAAAAAATAATTAGATTATTTGCTTATGTTAGGTACAGCTGTCCACAACATTCACAGTTAGATTTTCTACATTACATTCGTATATGCACTCATACCCAATTACAATATAGTTAATTTATCACCAGTCTAGCTATATTTCATGCCCTGTTCACACTTTCAAACTCTGAAAGTGTTTGTAATAGTTTTTAATTTTTTATAGCCTTTTTCAAATCAGTAAATTTTTAATATTCTTAGCTGAATGCTTCGGATGATAGAGGCATAGGTATTGTTCGCGGACAAATTTTGACATTTGCTAGCACAAGAACAATCTTCAAGTGAGTTTTATGATTGTTTTGATTGACTGATTGATTAATATATTGATTGGTTGGTTGATTAATTGCTAATACATATAATTATGGTTGTGCCATTTTTCCAAAATTTGGCCAAACTTTGGATTTTAACCGGGGCCGGATTTTGTTACATAATTTTCACTTTAACTTTTTTAAAATAAATCGCTACATTAAACAAAATTTACACATATATTTGGCTGCTGTTGCACGTATTTACTTAGGTACGCCAGAAACAACTTTCCCATCTGAGAGTTTTTTCAGTGTAGCTGGTGAAGTGATTAGTAACAATGGCAGCACATTGCTTTCAGCTAATGCTTCAAGGCTTGATTTCTTATAATAAAATATTGCGCTCATTAAAATGTAAATTCTATAGACAATAAAAATCTGCAAATGTATAATAGTTTTGATTTTTTTAATTACCATTAAATGATAATATTAATAATTGTTAACGTGAGCCGTTTATGAATAAATGAAAACTTTATTTACATGTGCAATATTTAAATTATATAATAAATCATTATTTTTATATTTTGTCGTTTTTATTGTCATTTTCATTATTGATAAAATAAAAAAAAGTATCCAATCTAATTATATTACAATTAAGTTTACTAATTTTATTAGGCTATTGTTTTCAAACATTATTTGATCCAAACAATATTTAATCTAGGTTTGAAATCAGTATCATGCATAAAATGAATATGGCATAAAAATTATTACCTGTCTAATAATTTTTTCTTAGTTCTATAGAATTAAACGCTAAAACACGAAACATTTTTTTGTAGTAATTGACATTGATTTTTTACAAACTTCTTACTATCGTATTTTATTGTTAAACTTTAGACAAATTTTTTAATTAAATTAATAAATTGACAAAAAAAGTGACTATGACGATAATTGCTGAACAACCGGTTAAAAACTGATTGTTTCTTTTCAACCTTTCAACAAGAAACTTTTCAACAAATATAGCGGTTCTATGTAACAAATTTGTTAGATTGACCTTGATGATATTGTTACAGGCGTGAAGGCGAGATAAGAAATGAAAGTTAGAAATTAAGTGAAGCGCTTGAAAATTATAAAAATCGGAGTTAATTAAAACGGTTGTAAAAAGAAGTCACTTTATAAGTGGGATCTCGACAACACAAAAACGAGAAAAAACACGAACAAGAACAACGAGAATAACACAAGGAATACAGCTAATCAGAAGACGGAGCACTATTGACGTAAAAGTGATTAATGTGATTTTATGTAGTTATTAGGATTAAGTTATTGTTTCTATTACAGCTGGTATTAAATAAACGTTTGACGTAGTTTGCGTTTACAGTTGTTGTGTTCATCTATCGGAGATCTTGAACCTACAGATAAACGAACTTTTGACTATCGTTGGAAGCTACAACACGATGTTGGAGATATAGCGAGTACTGAAGTTAAAACATCGAGGTTGGTAATTACGAGGTCGAAGAGGTTACGATCTGGTGTTAGAAATGGGTTCTTCAAGAGATTACACACTGGTGACGGAGGTAAGATTCCGATAGCTGAAAGTTCACTGCAGTATAGAATACAGGACTAGAGAACTATAATTTGTCGGACAAAAGAAACTTAACTTCTAACTAACCCTAACTTACTTGAGTTGTTTTCCGTGATTTACCTGTCGATTAGTTATTGTGCTTCATTCTAACGATTTAACGATCGAACGAACGAGTGATCGATTACGATCACACAAGTGATTGCCAGAACTGTTTTCATTCTAACTAAGTCATCTGAAATAAGTCTACTTAAGAATCAAGAATCCACGAAAAGAGAAATAACCGTACCCTACATGTTTAAGGGGACGGTTATAACAATATGTATGAGCAATATAATGCGTCTTGTCCATGATCCATGATCAGTATAGGCAAGCTAAAAACGTTATAAAATGCTATTGATTGTATTTGCAAATTCAATTTTGAAAAACTCAAATCAGGTACAGCCCTACATATAACCATAACTGAACCAAAGTTCAGCTTTAGCTTGTCCGGTTTTCATTTTATTATATTATTCTTATTGTTATAATAACTATAGTTAACAAGATTTATAATAATTTCACTTAGATCTCGGTTCAAATTAATAGTGCTAGATGAGGCTGATGCTATGACAAATGATGCACAGAATGCATTGAGAAGAGGTAACTAAACTTAGTTGAATGAATTTGTAATATTTGTATATATGAAATATATATATACATGTTTGAAGGAGACCATATTTTATACAGTATTAAAGGTTAAAAAGGTTAAAGGTTACTCTCTCTTTTGCGTTTGCTTCAGAGGTTTCAACGACAAACACACACAGCGTATATGAATACACGTGCAAACCACGCATCATACACATTGCATATGATAGGTGGGGATTTATCTGTATTCGAACCCAGTCATTGCAACAGCAAGACCAGACGCCTTTAACCATTGAGCCATCACGCCGCCCAAATTGCATGAATTATATACAATATGTAGTATTGTATGAATTCTACCGAATTCTACCAATTTAGTTTGTCTTTAAAATTTTCCTTTCTTGAATTTTCTGGAAATGGAAATTTGTTGAAATTACTTTAAATGCCCTATTGACGACTGTGCGCGTCAACAACATTCGTATATTGTTGTTATGACCATTTCACTATCAAGACGTCTCACAATGCATACACAAAAAGGAGCCATCACTTTCAATCAACACATGCAACTCCATAAACCCGCCAAACAACACAAAATTATCAAAACACGTACAAAATACATCTAAAAGTTGCAGAAGCTGTCCTACTAGATATCAATATAACAACACTTTTATTAAATTTTCATGATGAACTTGGATAATTCTATTTTCAACAAATTGAACAATTTCCAGAATATTTTAGTAAGGAAAATTAAAAAGACAACTTTTAAATCGATTAATGCCTACAATTCGGTAGAACTCACACAATACTGTATAAAATATAGTCATTATTTATGCGTATTTCTACGACCGACCGATAAAAACTGACAACCGCTCAAGAACCTGAGCAGCGATTGTTTCATCTTTCCCTGGAGTTAGAAGCAAAACAAAATAAAGTTTAGCACATATCCTATTAGATGAATGAAACAGATGCGAAATAGCTGTTGCCATCCGAGATGAGCTCAACAAAGCCCAAGACAAAAGACTCAATACTTATAAATACACCTCAAGGCCTAACTTTCATAAAGTTGACAAATAAAATAACAAATAGTAGTGGATTAACGGATCAATCTCAATAAATATCCTCTCACTGATAAATAAAGAGAATTTTTAAATTTAGGAATAAACTGTCATGTCTTAATGAAACCGAACAATATTGAGATAACGATGATAGTGCTAATAAACGAGTCAGAACGACAAACCCAGATTACTGTGGTCTTCCATTGCGGCTAAGCTACAAGCTGAAGCCAAGAAACAAAGGCAATTTTCAAATCATCATTGTACATAGGTGCCACTGAAAATGACCACCAAATTGATACTCAGGATTCGAAACCGATCCGACACGACGTCTTCCTCTAGCAAAACAAACAGAAGTAAACGAAATGATAACGACAATGCAGAATCAAAACGTCATAGAACCGTCATCAAGTCCCTGGATTTCGCCAGTTGTTTTGGTAAAGAAGGACGGCACTACCTGTTTTTGCGTTGATTATAGGAAGTTAAATGATGTGACTAAAAAGGACAGTTATCCGTTACCGAGGATTGATGACATCATGGACACCCTATCTGGCTCAAGTTGGTTCTCTACGCTTGATTTGAAAAGCGGATACTGGCAAGTAGAAATCGACAAGAACGATCGCGAAAAGACAGCGTTTTCTATCGGATCGGGGTTGTGGAAATTCACCGTCATGCCATTTGGATTGTGCAATGCTCCAGCTACTGATGGAATGTGTATTGCAAGGTCTTAACTGGAAAACCTGTCTTGTCTATTTAGATGACATAATTGTTCTAGGAAGAACATTTGATCAACACGTCGAAAACTTACGGGAGATCTTCACAAGACTATTGGAAAATTTAAAGCTGAACGTTAAAAATGTGCTGGTTATTTTCTAAAGAAGTTAACTATTTGGGACATGTAGTATCTTCAGATGGAGTTCGAACCGATCCCAGCAAGATAGAAATTGTGAAAGACTGGCCAACTCCAAAGGATAAAAATGAATTGCGAAGTTTTCTGGGATTGGCAACATACTATCGACGTTTTATAAAAGATTTTGCAAAAGTTGCCGGACCTCTCCACCAACTTACCGAGAAGGACCGAGTTTTCAACTGGAATACCCTATGCGACTCAGCATTTGAAAAGTTAAAAGTTGAACTATGTGATGCTCCTTTGCTAGCATATCCAGTTCGTGGCAAGACGTTTGTGTTAGATACTGATGCAAGTAACAACGGAATCGGAGCCGTTTTGTCACAACATATAGACGGAGAAGAAAAGGTGCTAGCGTATTATAGCAGAGGATTCACAAAGCCCGAACGAAACTATTGTTTGACCAGGAAGGAGTTACTAGCAATAGTCAATGCAACAAAACACTTCCACAAGTACTTTTATGGACAGAAATTTCTTCTCCGAACTGATCATGCAGCGTTAAGATCTTGAAGGATCTTGAAGGACAGATGGCCCGATGGTTGGAGCGTTTACAAATGTACGACTTCGAGATCGTGCACCGCAAAGGAACAACTCATAGTAATGCTGATGCTCTCTCACGTCGACCATGTTTACCAGGATGCAAATATTGCTGTCGCCACGAGGAGAAGATACAATCGGAAGACATAAGAGCAACAACAATATCAGCGGATGACGGTTGGACACCGACGGATCTTGCTGATGCACAGTTTGCGGATTAGAACCTACAACATCGGATCACATGGAAGAAGGAGGGCAAGCGACCGGACTGGCAAAGCATCTCAGAATATAGTGCCATGTTAAAGGGTTATTGGGCTCAGTAGGACTCATTGTATTTGGAAGGGGATTCGCTGAAACGAAAATGGGAATCAGCTGATGGATCAAAACACCGCATGCAAGTTGTAATACCAAGAAGTAGAACGACCGAAATCCTTGATGAAATGCATGGCGGCCCTTCTGGGGGACATTTAGGAGTGAACAAGACCCTTGAAAAAATACGAGAAGGATTCTACTGGCTTCACGTTAGAGAAGATGTAGAGAGCTGGTGTCGAAAATGTAACACATGCGCTTCAGTCAAAGGACCCAAAAGAAGGCTAAAAGGGGCAATGCAAATCTACAATGTTGGTGTCCCCTTTGAACGGATTGCTATAGATATTGCTCGACCCTTTCCGGTATCAGATTATGGAAACCGTTACATTCTGGTTGTAGCGGACTATTTCAGCAAATGGCCCGAGGTGTTTCCAATACCCAACCAAGAAGCATGTACCGTCGCTGAGGAAATTGTACTCAATTGGATTAGTCGATATGGTGTCCCATTGGAACTCCACTCAGATCAAGGTCGAAATTTTGAGTCACAACTGATTGGTGAAATGTGCAAGCTGCTGGGTATAAACAAAACTCGAACGACACCTCTTCACCCACAGTCTGACGGTATGGTGGAACGATTTAACCAAACCCTGATTGAACATCTGGCTAAAGTAGTCGACAAAAATCAACGGGATTGGGATCGTCATTGTTTCTTATGGCATACCGGAGTGCTATCCACACAACTACTGGAGAAACGCCATCAAAAGTTCTGTTTACCTTAAGAACCTTAAGAACTCCAGCTGATGTGAAATATGGCGTACCACCTGAACCACACCAATCATTAACAGAATACGTGGATAATCTTCGACAGCGATTAAACCATATCCACCGTTACGTACGCCTTAAAATTATAAAAAACACGGAGGCGGCCAAAACCAGATACGACTTGAAAGGAAGCAGTGGCGGTTAGGGTTAGCCGTGAAGCCGTACTGGTAACCACCTATTAAAACCCACGACTACAGTCAATAACTTTTTCAATAACTTTTATGGGGTGTTCCAGCAAACGTATACCCCGATATGAGAAGCATTTCAGTGGGTCTCCTTTTCTTTTATAGATCGGCACAGTTGTGCTACTGTTCCATTCCACTGGTAGCATTGATTTACTCCACATCTTTCGACAGATGTGTAAGAGAGCTCGGAAGCCTGCCCCGCCAGATGCCTTGATGATATCATTTTTAAGTCCAGACGGACCAGCCGCTTTACAACCCATTCATTGCCTTCAGCGCATCGTTAAGCTCCTCAGCTGTTATGCCCTGAATCGGTCCTTCCACCGGAATATTCAATAACTTCTATTCAATAACTGATCCGGTGATCCATCACTTCATTCTGCAAGCTTATTATGGTGCCTTTGTTATTCTTTATGCATGTGGCACAAACTATATCTTTTTTCAGTATTTTGGCCTGATTTTCTATTCGGTCACTCTACCGAATACCATTATGTATAGGTAGAGTGACCGAATTTGTTCGCCTTTACTTCTAGACGGCCATACCTTTTATTGATTTGTACGAGCTATTGCGATATTGACATTTCGCTTCTGTGTTTTTTGATCGGTATGTCTTTCGATCTTCATCAGTCTTCGTGTTCTGCCATTGTTTGAAAGCTGCTTTCTTACTGGCAATAACATTTTGCACCGTCTTGTTCCCCCACCAAGTTTTGCGGTTGTCTTGGTGTTTTGGTCCCGATTTTCTACATACAGCTGTTCACTAGGATGTCCTGAATAGATTTCCAGGTTATGTCTAAATCCAGTTGTGTCGATACCAACTCCGCGAAATTCTTGAGGTTCTTCAGTTTCTATGTCTTTATTCTAGTAGGCATTCGAATAGTCACAGAGTGTGATCGTTTCATGATCATATTGGTCACCTGCAATCGATGTTTAGGAAAGCATGCTTCGCCTGGCATGACTTTGGTGATCTTGAATAGTCGTCTGCGTCAATAAAATCATTATGTGTGCATGACATCCCGCTCTTATATGTGATCAAATGTTTTGCCATCTTCTTTAAGTAAAGGTTCAACAGGAAAAGTACATGGCTTTCTGTAAGTTCCTGAATCCTTACACCGTCTTCCAAAGCCTCCATGGACACCGTGGAACCCATTTGCTTTCTCTCTAACATAGCCGTTGAGGTCGAGACATATAAATGGTATCTCTGATAATGGTGTTTTCCTGACGGCATCTGAGAGTTTGTTCCAGAAGTCATTTTTGGCGTCATCAGATTCACCGGTCTGTGGTACATATACAGTGAAAAAAGTCAGAAACTGTTTTCCCATTCTGAGTTTAATCAGCATTAGGCGTGAGCTGATTCGAGTCACCTCCAGTACATTTTGTGCCAGTGATTTCCGTATGAAGATTCCCACTTTATTATGTGCTATCTTTTGGCCATTCCAGAACATTTTGTAACTACCAATGAGAGAAACACCTTTTGATTTCCATCTTGTTACCAGCAGAGAACAGATGTCAACCTTTTGCTCTAACCCTAACCTGTCGACGATCTCCATGGTGCGTCCAGTTAGCGATCCAGTTATTGTCACCTCTTGACCATTCAAACAAGCTATTAGTTTTTTGATAGTTGGGTGGTGCAATGATGTAACGGTCATGCTATTGCAGTAACCGGATTAGATTGCAAGAAATTCCTGCCTATCACATACTATGTGTGATGCATTGTTTCATATACAGTATGTGTTTGGTTGAGCCTCTCAAAAATGTTAAAAGGGTAATTGTAATAAATATTTCATATATATATATTATATATATATATTATGTATATATATATATATGAAATGAGTTGTTATGTATGTTTTTTTTGATCAATGTTGAAAGTAGTGTTGAATTTTTGAAATGTTGCGTTAACAACAGTCTGTTACCAATATATATATATATATATATATATACATATATATATATATATATACACCCAACTATCATATATATATATGTATATATACTCATATACATATACATACACACACATATAGTGTATTGGTCTCCGCGCACAGGTTGGCAGATTTAGATTTTATTTTAGAGAACATTTTAGAGAACCTTCTGTGCAAGACCCTGTACACTAATATCTGTTGAGCAGGGGCGAAATGATAGTTTTTATGGCTATTGTTTTTAACCAAGGGCTCGCACACACACACACACACACACACATATACGTCCTACCTTGGGGAACTGGGTCGCTGGACGCTAAACGAAGATTGATTGAAATATATATATATATATATATATAATATAGAAATAATAATATATATAGAAATATATATATATATAAATATATATAATATATAGAAATATATATATATATATATCGATATTATTCAATATTTTTCTTACGTTCAACATAAAGAATTTGCTAAATTATTTTATTAATTCGAAACCTTTCCCTTGTAAACCTTTGTAATTACAAATATTTTACAGTAATGGAAAAGTTCACAGAAAATGTACGGTTCTGTATTATTTGTAATTATTTATCAAAGATTATACCAGCTCTTCAATCTAGATGTACTAAATTTAGATTTGCACCATTAAATGATGAACAAATTTTGCCAAGACTTGATAATATCATATATAGTGAAAGGTTTGTGAAAACTATCGAAAATAGATTTTTTTTTAGTAATTAAAGTCTTTTTTGAACTTAATGTCTCGCTAAAATTCTTGTTAAAATTGCTTCTTGGAGATCACAAATGCATTCTAAGTCATATAATAAATGTTTTCTGTATTTTTTTTTAACTTGCTTTCGACTCTGTCCGTTGAACATTTGTTTGTCTGCCTGACTGTCGGTCTAACTGTTTGTTCACTAACTGTTAATTTAAAACTTTCTTGCGGACTATCTAACTTTCTATAAGTTAGACATGTGTTTCAAAAGTATTTAAAAATTAATTTTTGAAAAGATTTGAAATCCAGCTAAGCCCTAGCAAGCATTTTAAACCTTTAAGATCATACAAGTTGTAAAACGAACTTTTTTCCCAATTTTATCCAGTTCCTGATAAACGTGGCGATTTAGCTCAAAATTTAATTTTACTTGAAATATGTTTTCTATTAAATCTATCGGACATATGTAAATATTTGGTGTTGGTTCTTTGTTTAGTACCCCTATATATTGAACTCTGAAGCGCTGCCGAGAAGCTGGCGAGCAAAATATTGATGTTTAAATTTCTTTGAAAACATTTCTCTTTCCTCCATCATAGCAGTCTATCTATTCCATACTTCTGCTGCAGTCACAAAACGACGTCATTTTTAGTTTTCTATTCTGAATTTTGGAACAAGTTTTTTTAGTTGGTGATCTGAGCTTTTGTTCAACAGTAGCTATAGAAACAGACAGTATCGGATGTAAATATTGAAGACCAAACCCCATCAAATTATCTCTTGTCAGTCGATTCGCTAAGTTCGTCACGTACATATTGAAATCAAGATAAGATCACGTGAAATCAAGATAAGAACTAATAGTTAGAAATTGCACGAACCGCTAGTAAAATAATTAGAAGGCATAAATAATTAAAATGGTTGTAAATTCATGTGATACGGCATGTGACACGTTTACAAGCAGTTCGGTAGCTATATAAACAACGCCGAAGCAAGATTCAGAGACACAGAGAGAGAGAGAGAGACACACAAGGAGAAAAAACGAAGAAATAACTAATTTCACCGTTCTATTTTTGTTACCCACGGCGATTTTCCCTTCGCCAAACTTCCACGAGGTATGATTGTTCTTGAGCCAATCTAAACCTAAAACTATTTCTGAAACATGATCAGACACCAATACCAATGCTGATTTGGAATAATCATTAACTTTAATTTGCAACTTCATTTCTTCTTTGACTGGAATTTCTGTGTTGTTGGCAGCTTTCAATTTCTTTTCCGTCGGTCTGATCTTTGTGATATCAACCATAGACGTTGTAACAATGGATACACTACTGCCACTATCAAGTAAACCTAATCTTCTTTTGCCATTAATTGTGATTGACATGACACGATCGTTGCTTTTTCACGTGATCCACTGTGCTGCTTGTCATTTCTTTCTGCGGGCACTCCCTCAAAAAATGACCTGTCTTTCCACAATTGTAATAACCTTTGAAATTCACTTGACTATAAGTTTGAGATTTGCAGGTCTCATGAGGACATTCGACTGCAAGATGACCTGGCTTCTTACAATTGAAACAAATTTTCTCTCGCTCAACTCGGGATACCGTTGGCTGCGCTCTGTTATTTCTGAGTTCTTCGAATGACTTTTGAAGGAACGCAATCTGTCGTACCATCGACTCCATGTTTTCTGCTCCTGCTTGTAAATCGCTGTGCAAACCTAAGAGCATCGTCAATGTTCTTTAGTTCTTTTTCCCTAACCTTTAACTCTAATTCAGTATTATCGAGGGCTGACAAGAAAAAGTCCCTATCTAGATGTGTAGCTAATCTTGACTGTTCTCCTGGATAGGCTAATGACATGAGTCTTTTAGTAACCATCGACAACTCTCGTAACGACTCACCAGGTTTTCGACGAAGAATCTGTAATTTGTACCTGTATGACTCTTCATGACCTCTTGTTCCAAAACGATCTTTTAGCTTAGATACCAGCTCTTGGTAACCTAAACCTGTTAAATCCCAGAGAACCTGTGAAGCTTCACCTGTTAACGAACATGACAAATACGCTTCCATGTCTACGAGATTCCAATTATTGTACTTGGCACATATCTCAAGCTTTTTTAAGAAAGTTTTGAGACAACCGGTGCCATGAAATCTGTCAGGTCGAAGCAATTCGCGACGACAAAAGTCGTTGCCACGTTCGGCACCTATACGCGATTGATGAACCTGAGACTTCACACCAGTTGAATGAAGCGGTTCCCGACTGTCACACGTCGACTCGTGTTCAACTGTGTTTCTCTCTCGCTCGGTCGCTCTGCACCTGTTGCTGTTACCTAAAATTTTATTTCACCGTCGATCGTGTTCGGTTTTTCTAATGATTGACGCTGATCTACTGGACGCTAATCGCAGCTCATTCAGTCCGAACTCCTGCAACTTTGGATCACCCTGACACCTAAAACCTGAAATATCCTGTGTAAACCTGTAACCTAAATTGTTCGCTGAAAAATCAATACGCAGCTTTTCTTCGTACCTGTCAACAATTTGGAAACGAATGTAATTCAAAACAATTTCATTTTGTTGGCTGGCGGGCGTTGAAAGATTGATTTTCGATCCTCCTTCGGTTCCTGTAAACTAAAATCTAAAAAAGTTTCATGTTGTCGAACATGGCACCTGTCACCTAAAAAATTTGGAGAATCAACTTGGCTCCTGCTGCACCTAAAACCTGTAATGTTTGAAAAAGAAGCCCCACGTTGGGCGCCAATTGTAGATTTTCGCCGGGCGACATCCGAATTCCGCACCACACGGTCCCGAACCGCGTCCGCATACGAATATCCACCCAAGCCTTCGCTTCGGCGGAGTCTTTCCTGGCCGGGATCCGCCACTCTACAATAGACGCTCTCAGGGTCTGAAAACACGGAAGTTTGTTCGCGCCCTGCTTGTTGACTAGAAACGCCGACCTCGTCAACTATCAGCAATTATTTTATATTCAAACATCCATTATTTTAGGTAGAATAATTAAGCCGAGCCAAATTTCAAATGTACACTTCTTTTATTCAATAAAAGAAACAAAATAACAAACAAAATAGTACAAATCAAATCTTTATTAATAAGCGATAAATCCCAAAATTAACAATCTATTAATAATATAACTATCAGGCAGACAAAATGCATAGAATGTCTATTAAAATATATAGATATATACAGGCGGCACGCCTCAAAGACGCAATCATTATCATCACAATCGTCACAATTTTACAAAATATACAGGCGGTATATTTCAATCGCACAATCATTATCATTGCAATTGTCACAACTTCACATTAACCTTACGGCGACTGTACGAATATACGCATAAAAATGACATTTTAAACTTGATTCGGTGACCTTCACAATATCTGTTGTGTAGAAAGCACAGATCAAAGGTCCCAGAATTGATTCTTGTGTTACACGGAAAGATGCGGAGTTAGTGCCCTCAACAAATCGTTTGCAGTTTATTAGTCAAACCAAGCAAGAACCTTTCAACCAAAAAGGTGCTGCAAAAGGAGTCTTTCATAGAGAGCCGGAAGTCGATGTGACGTATTAAAAGCAGCCCAATGTCAAGTAGATCTATTGATCAAGTTGAGAGACACTATCTTGCTATCTCAGTTCAGAACAAAAGCTCAGGGAAAAGTCCTTTTGCTTTGAAGTTTGCAATCAACTGTTTTGCCACTGTTTTTTTTATTGAGCTTCGAAATAAGCTTGAGGTTTAAAAATTTCAAAAAACCTATAAAAGTTTGTTTAATACATTTTATATTGTTTAAAAATGCTGATTTCGACAACGTATTTCATCTTTTTTTCTTTTTCTACCTGAGCTTCCTTGTTTGTTTTTTGTTTTTTTTTTGCTTGATTGCTTACTTATTGAGGTTACCATCTTAAATTCATTAGTATTTCTTGATAACGTTTCATTTTTATTATTAAAAGTCAAAATTGTTTTCAGAATCAGTGTTTCCGAAGAAGCTAAGTCTACATTAATTGCATTGGGTAAAGGGGATATGAGAAAAATATTAAATATATTGCAAGTAATTAATTTTTTAATCGTTTCATCTCTATTTAAATTTATAAATTTATGTTTTTTATAATATACTAACTGACCCTTCGTAACGCTTTAGAAATAATAAAATGTGCTACTGGCAGAGTTTCCCAACCTTTTTCAGTGTTGGCCTTCCTATAAAAGAATTAATGGTAACTTGACCTCCCCAAACACCGTCGTCAATAGTTGAAAAAAAAATCTATTTGTTATTCATTGCGCTGTTTATATTAATTAGGGTTATGTTAGGTTCTTAAATATGTTGCATAAAATATTGTTGAAGCTTAATAAGATGGTTGCTGCTGTTTTCCATCATAGAAGATGAAATTGAGGTTCATTACTAGAAAGATTTCATATCATTTCATGCATCCAATCAATTTCTATCTTTGAAGAAGAGAATCCTTTTTCACATAAGTAGGTGGTCGAAAACGGAATCAGAGCTGCCATATCTTATTTAAATATATTTGGGTACATATCTTTCAGACTGCACCAAAACTCTCAAAATCTTTGGAATTGAATTCAGCCAACTCTTTGGTTCAAAAATTAATTAAATCAATTTTTATTTCATCTTCATCAGAAACACTATCCAAGTTAATAATGAATGGATTTCGTATACAAAAATTATTTGCTAAATTTTTAGTATTTAGTTAACGCTAACGTTAGAGGTTTGTGATATGTTGTATAATATGTTGTTGTATAATTGTTGTATAATTTCTTTTTTTCCAACATGCATTGATTTGGTATTAGTGCTACTTATGACATCATCTAAGTATGGAAAATCTGCAAGGTTTGCCAACATTTCTTTTCAATATCGTCAACATCGGACTAGGATTGTTGCTGCGGAACTCTGCCCTCTGCTGCTCGGACTGGTTCTTTATTCCAGAGCGTTTTCCTATCCTTCGAAAGCAGCGAATGTACCACATTAGCGTTGTCAAAATCACCGCCATTGTCGTTGTCCTCTATATCATCACCAGACTTCTCACTATCGCTCATGTCATCATGGTTGTTATTAGCTGCATCATTTTCATCATTTTCATCTGAGCTCTACTGAGTTTTATTTAAAGTAGAATTGTATTCAAACTTTTAATCTCGCATCATGTAGAGGATCGCGATCACCGTCGTATCTCGGTGATCCTCTACATAGTAATACAAACAATCGTCAACTTTGCTCTGCCATCGTTCTACGTTTTCATCAGCTTAAAACACGTTTGGAATTCGCTTCCGCCAAAAGATTAGGGACTGCAGCTCTACACAGTCATTCAAGTCGTGATTAAAAATTTTTTATTTTGATAGAGCGTTTTTAAACGTCTGACAGGATGTTTTTTTTTGAGGGCGCCTCAGCCGCTTGCCAGGGCGCTTTATAAGTCAACATTATCGTATATAATATATATATATATTATTTTGTTATATATATATAACTAAGCATAAAAACACTTACAATGAGGTCGTTTTTGACGCTATTGGTAGTTAACGCTAATTTTGTCCACCTGGCGTTATTAAAAAAACTAAACTCAAAGGTCTTGTATAAAGTCACACAATTTCACCGAATTTTTATCGTGAGTGTAAAATTCTGGAGTCGTTTTTGATTCCCACTGGTTACTGCTGGCCTCTCCGTCAAATTTCAAAAATTGGTTACTACCTGTGGGAATCACACAATTTTTGAAATTGCACAGTTAAATGTTATAAATTTGATTTTAAATTTTTAACATAAAAAATTGTATAATGTTTCAAATGTTTTAAATTAGATATAAAATTATAAGCTGGAAAAATTGCAAAATGTTATTAAGTAAATAAAAGTTGGCAGGTCTAATTTTGTCCTCACTTGCGAACATTTGATAAATTTGCTGGCCTCTCCGTCAAATTTCAAAAATTGTGTGTTTTGAACGCATTTGAACCTTTATTTAACACCAACCAAATCTTTTTTCTGTTTTCTATTAGAAGTTTTTATAAACCTTCTTCCAACATTGTCGAAATCTTAATGATCTTAAGTAATTAATCTTAAGTAAACAATTTTAACAACATCGTTTTTAAAACCACATTTTAAAAAAGAATAAAAAAATATGTAGCATCAAATCTTTTTATGTCTCTTTAATGCTATTCCATCCGTAACCAATTTTAACTTTAACTCGGCCCGGACAGTATGTCTTCATGTTTGTTCTATTCACCTATTCGGACCCTTTGAGACAACAGGAACTCGAAATGACATATTTCATTTAATTTATCAATTGAACGTGGTAACCAATTTTAGGGCCACAATTAAAATTGAAGCTGTTTTGGATTATTTTGACCTGAACAAACTATAGCACGTTTCTGGTTTGTTGTTGAAATGTTAAAACTATTCTAAACAGTTGACAGTTTGTTCTGAATTTTTCCCTTTTGCTATTCATTAAATTTCTTTACTTTTTTTTTATGTCACGAAGTCTTAAGTTAATTTTTTCATTAATTTTCTTAGTAATAAACTATTAATATAAACAATTGAACGTGTAACGATTGGAGAAATTAAAAGTAATTTTGAAAATGAAGATTTGCAAATTATTTACAAGATATCCAATAAGAGAATAAATTTTTGGCAATTCACTACCGAACAGGTTTATGGTAAAATCAAGTTTTTAAACGGAGGTTTCTAGTGTTACCATTTTTCTGGCTTTACTGAGGTTGACGATTTTATATTTACAAAATAGGAAAAAGCATTTTGTTGCTTTGAAAACGATTTTTATTTAAGTGATTTTACAGAGTTTAGTTTGTCAAAAATTATATATATATATATAATTTCATAATTGCCGTTTAAGAAATTTTGAATTATTACTTACTTTTTTGACAATTAACAGAAATTGAACTTGTTATTGGCATCATTTGTAAAGTATTTGCATTTATTTGTCAAATAATGTTTTTTTCCTTTTTCTAAGATTTTTTTCACTGCACAAACTGCAAGCATTAGACTGAATAATAATATATATGAAAAATTTCATATTCATTATTTTAAAATTTGTAATGTTTTTTTTTATTTCCAAGTTGCTGTCAACATGAATGTTCATATTTTATATCATTAAAAAATATTTTTAAATTTATACAAAGTGGGAATCCTGCAAACAATTATATTATTTTTTTGTTCTCGATCTTTTTGTTGATTTTGTTATGTTTGTTTTATTTTATTAATCAAAGAATGTAACGATAAAAAACAAAGTTTTTGAAAAATTTTCGTAAACGTTTTTTGAAGTTTTACGGGAATTTACGGGAACTTGGTATGTTAAATGTATTAAATTATTTAAGCTTCTTCGAAATAGTCTAAACCAAAGTATTAATTTCTTTTATTTTACTGCATTAAAAAATCCGTAATAATTTTCACAATTCTAGAGTACATCAATGGCATTTCAAGATGTTAACGAAGATTCTGTGTATGCCTGCGTAGGCTACCCTCCAAAAAATGATATAAAGCTTGTTGTAAAATGGTTGTTAAATGAATCATTTACACCTTGCTATAACAGTATGTGATACTTAAAATTTTTAATACTTTTTACATTTTACTATTTTTGTTTCTTATTCATAAGACATGAAAAAGGTTATCCAGAAAGGAAAAATTTAGAGATATCAATTTATGAAGATACATCATTTTTTTAAGTTTTTTACACTAACTGAATCATATGCGCGAGACTCATTTTAACGTATTTGAGGACAACTAAATCTAACGAATCTAGCGATTGCACAGCGAAATTCTGTTTGATTTTATTTTTGTTTTCAATAATATCACTACCACAGCTGCCCATATTTGCACTTTCCCATATTACAAATTTAGTACACAAAACAAAAATACAACATTCATTCAGATTACATCCTAATGATTACATCCTATCAATCAAACCTAGCAATAAATGACAATATCGCCAGTCGTGAATTCCGCCTTGCTGCTTCCTAATTCTCTTCCATCAAACACCAGGAATAGCATTCTATTCAGTCGCCATTAAAATCTTTTTATTTTAAAAATGTTTTTAAAACGTTTGACTGAAGTTATTCTGTTTCGAGGACGCTTCAGCTGCCAGGGCGCTTTATTAAGTGACAATATTATTATTTTAAAATATAATAAGACAAATTTTATGCATGCCTTTCTGATAATCATGAAAAAATATGTATTGTCGGCTCTGAATATATACCTACATAATCTTTGTAAGTTTCTAAACTTAATAAGGCCTCTCGATTTTTCTGGTCTTAAGAATGGAGCTTCTCAATCTGAACATTACATGCAAATTCAAATGTGCAACAAAAACGGTTACATTATTATACTATCTTAGTTACGGTACGGCACACAGTATATAGCATGAATATCGTCGTGCTGAGAATAATTACGACTGCGTAATTTAAAAAACACGTAATTTAAAAAACACGTTTAACACAAAAATTTTAATAATTCATTTTTTCATATGTAAAACTTTTTTTTCGAAAAATATGTTTAATTTACTTCCAGTTTTCCCAATATGATATTACTATCAATAATGTTCAGCTGCTATTTTTGTAACTTTATTGGTGACCATAAAAAAATTTTTCAAAATTTCAGCTGTGTGTGTTTGTAATTTACTTTTTAAATTCATTCTTTGTAGATATTATGCAGCTAAAAATCACTAGAGGCTTAGCTCTGGAAGATATTCTGACTGACATAAACTTTTTTTTCCATAAAGGTTCTTTTTATTTGAAAATTTTATATTGTTTTTAAAAGGAATTTTTTTATTTCATTTTTAATTAACAGATCTTCAAACCTTTAGTTTTTTAAGTTGGGTTATAGACTTTTTTCTACCGTTAACAAAAGTTGAAAAAAGAGTTAAATTCGTACTGAGGTGTAAATAAGAAGAAAATTTTATGGAACTGAGAGCAGAATGTGATTGCAAATCACCTAAGCCAATTTTTACAATTCCACGCAAATTATATAGATAATATGAAATTGTCAAAAATTGCGCTTGGTCATGTTTTGCACAAGGAAATTTGTAGTTGCCTAGATTTTTTGAATCTATGTCAGTTTAAATTTAATTATATTTTGTTTTGTTTTAAATAAAAATTCAACAAAAATTGCCTGCCCAGTCCCTCGAAAATCCTAAAAATTATTAAATCAATAATAAGTATAACAGTTATAACATGTATCTAAGTATAACAGTTCATCGTCTCTGTTTCTTAAGCGCTGTTTTGATCATTCAAATTTATTTCTGACAACATCTTGATCATCATTTTTTCTACTATCAAAGCCTATCAATCTTCGTTTAGCGTCCAGATAGTAGAGGTCAACCTATTTTTTTGATGGTAAAACGTTTAGCGTTTATCAAAAATTGCGCTTGGTTATGTTTTGCACAAGGAAATTTGTAGTAGCCTGGATTTTTTGAATCTGCTTTTATCAGAATTGGTATTGACGCTATATTTTGTTGCAATATTCTGCCTTTTTTACGGATTCACAATATCAATAGCTGATGCTTCGAAGACTTAATATACCAAAAATAACAATTTATTAATTTTAGAATATTTGGTTTTATAGTACTTATAGTAGCATCTCTCTTAGTCAACTTTAGCTACACATTGTTTGAAACCCCACTATTATCAGAATTGGTATTGACGCTATATTTTGTTGCAACATTCTGCATTTTTTACGGATTCACGATATCAATAGCTGATGCGAGTCGACATCGAAATCAATATTCAGAACTGCTCTATTACTCTCTTTAGCTTTTTTTATTTGTCGCAGACTTTGTTCTAGATCGTTCCTAATCCATAATTACAATGTTTTCGATCCATCCGTTGTGAATTCCCATATTTACTACAATTTAGTTTGCAAAATAGAAATATCTTGTAATGTTTCATAACATAGATGTTATGAGTACCTATCAAAAAATTAGTTGGTGATAATGAACGGAGAAGGAAATTCATTATAAGTGTTGAATTAATTAATTTTATTTTATGCACACAAAAATGAAATATATTTGCAACTTCTAACAAAAGTGGTTTAAACATCCTACAAGTATACAAAAGTATGCTATAATTTTCTCTAAATTTAAATACATATTGTTATAACCGTACGGTTATTTCTCTCTACGTGGATTCTCGATTTCTAAGCAGACTTACTTCCAGATGACTATTCGTCGGTAGTTAAGTTTCTCTTACATTGAGTTCTCTAGTCCTGGTATTCTGTACTGCAGTGAACTTCCAGCTATCGGAATCTTACCTCTGTCACCTGTGTGTAATCTCTTGAAGATCTCACTTCTAACACCAGTGTCGTAACCTCTTCGACCTCGTAACTACCAACACCGATAGCTTCAGTACTCGCTATATCTCCAACACCGTGTTGTAGCTTCCAACGATTGTCAAAAGTTCGTTTATCCGTAGGTTCAAGATCTCCGATAGATGAACACAACCACTTTAAACGCAAACTACGTCAGACGTTTATTTAATGCCAGCAGTAATAGAAACAATAACTTAATCCTAATAACTGCATAAAATCACTTTAATCACATTTACGTCAATTGTGCTTCGTCTTCTGATTAGCTTTACTCCTCGTGTTATTCTCGTCGTGTTATTCTCCTCGTTCCTTTTCTCGTTCCTTTTCTCGTTTTCCTTGCTCGTGTTCTTTTCGTGTTCTGACTTATATAGTGACCTTTTTACAACCGTTTTATTTAGCTCCGCCTCTTAATTAAATTATCATGTGCTTCACTTTAATTCACTTTTAATTTCTAATCTTTATTTTCGTATCTGTAACAATATCTTAATAAATATTTTTCGTTTTATTACATTTATAGCTGAATATGTTTTAGCAGTCATTTTAAATAGATCAGCTGTAAATTGAGAATACTGTTGAAATCAAATTATGTGGTTAAGGGGTCACGTTTTTCAGAAAGGCTTAAAATGAATAAGACTGGCGTGTAACTATGGGCGAAAGTATGGAATTGTCATGAAAAGTTGTTAAAATATTGACTTTACGAAATCAAAAATGGCGGTAAGAATTAGTGCAGATTTTGGACATTTAATCAAAGCAGTACTCACGAACAGACAAGATGATTAGACATTGGCTCTACAATATACAACAATTTAAAAAGGAATGAAATTATGTCTGATAGCTGTTAATGATCTCAGTTTTGCTTGCCAACCATGCAGAACAAAAACACTCTACAAGAACCGATAAAGATGACATATAATTGCAGCAAAGATTGCTGGCGTTAATAATTCAAAATCAACACAAATGTAACCATTATAAAGCATATATAATTCATCTATAATAAAGCATTTTCAAATTTTTTCTTGTTTTTAGACAGGCGAAATTTCAGGTTTTTCATGCTCAAATTGACTTTTCTTATTTTATTTTGTATGACTTAAATTATTTTTAAATATGTGGTTTTGGTCTTTCCCGGCTGTAAGATTTTGCGCAAAAAACGTCGTAATTTTTTTGCTGTACAAAATTTCGTTTTTAATGATGACTAAATTCTAGAGCTTTTGTTTTACACTCACCAATGTGCAAACAGGCACAAAATAATGGTTTCAGTATTCTAATTTTTGTAATGAATTGTGCCAATTCATTCTAAATATAAAAAATGACACGCTTTTGTGTTTCGTACTGCAATTTCATACAAATTGATTTCACATTTTATTATCAGTATAGTAAACATCAAACTGATAAATGATCAAGCTGACGTGGTGAAAGGGATTTTAGTTTGGGTAAAACACACTAAGCGATGTTTTGTTAACAACGAATTCAATCTGTCGTAAAATATGTCCATTTTCATTATTGAGGTGAGAAAGAAAAATTAACAATTTTGACGAAGCGGCAAATTCTTCAACCCCAGAGCATGTTTGAAGATACCGCTACTCATACAAAAGAGCTATCGCATTTAGAATATAGCTGGAATGAAATGGAATTTAAGTAAATGAAAACTTCTTTTTCAAATGCTACTTTTTGTCCAACTATTATATAAAAAGTGTTGTAGCTGTAACTTTATTGCTGGTGCTTTAAAAATTAAATTGATTGTCTAAAATATTTGCAATTTAACGAAAAAAATTAGTTTTTTGATATTCCAAGTTAAAAGCCAAGTTAAAAGCTTTGTATTTTTTACTTTAAGAATTAACTGTTTTCAACATTCAAAGCTTATTTGTTCGAATTAGAGAAAAGCATAAAAACGAATATTGATGAAACCTAATTTTTTGAAATGGGAATTTTAGAGGATAGATGGTTAGGAAATTTATGGTCCGTGAATCAGAATAAATTACAATTTTGTCGTAATAAAACTTTCAAGTGTTTTATGTTGAATAAATGATAAAGTACATTTTTGAATTAATAATTTTATTAAACATAGACCAAACATTACCAACTGCAAACAACCTTATTTAATTACATTGACCAATTCAATCGGATTACATTTCACAAATTCCTTACGGTGTTTCTCCGACTCCCTGTAACAAAAATTGCTCTTTAGTTGATTTATTAAATTCTTGAATTAATGATACACTCTTTCAGCACTACATAGGTTCTTAATGTAATTAGCTGCAATTCGGTAAGACTGTGTTTGGCCAATCGAAAACAGGTAACAGAAAGCCGTCTGAAAGAAGGAGCGAGATAGAAATATTTTATGAAAGTATTCCAGATATGATCAATTGAGATCCTTCTCATTAGTTCAGATTTTGCTCGTCTGAATTATAAATCGTTTTAATCCTTGTGGTTTTAATCATTGTCAGTGGAAATGCTGTCTCAGTGCCATTAAAAGAAAACTCAATTTTAAGTGAGTACACAGCCTTTGCCATCTATTTGGCTGTATGAAGGGGTCTAAGTTTGCGAATTGAAGATTTAATTTCCAAACTAGTCATTAATCCAGCAAAGGATTAGAAATTTTTTGTAGTCTTTTCAGGTGTATTGTGGCTGAGAAATAATAGTTTTCAAACTGCCTTTCACTGGTACTAAGGGAGTTGGTGTTTCATGAGGAATATGATGATTAAGATCGAGCCGTTTAAAATTTTGTATGTTTGGTAAATACGTCTGTCAATGAAATTTCGAGCATATGGTGGCGAGAAGCCATCAATAATAAGTTTTTTTCCCATGTTCTTTTTTGTTGTTAAATACGTTCAGTCATTCACATTCATATATCATCGAAATCTTTCAGGGACCCATAAACCTTGTCCAAATGATTGAATACTTTAAATTGCCACATAGAAACTTTTAAGTGTGAGACTTGACAATTTCAAACTTATTTTTTGGGACACCCTAAAATATATATTTATATATATAAATATATATTATTGATGAAAATCACAGCATGTTCGGCGTTAGTTAACTTCCTGTTTAATTTTTCTAACGGTTGATCGTAAATCATTTTCAAGTTTCTTTAGTTCAAAACCAAAATTTTTGTTTATTTTATACATATTAGAATAAAAAAGCTTGTTACGGTATTCCTATACCATCTTCGGTGTTCAAATTGATATGTTGTGTATGTGCCCAGATGCTCAAATATATATACTACTTTGTTGATTTCTTGTTTGATTAAAGTGAATACATAGTTAGTTTTACAATTTTCGACCGTTAAATATAACATTTTTACGTGATTCCTCTGTTACTAAATTTATTGGTATTTATATTTATATCTATGAGTATTGATTCGGCTAGTCTTAAATTATAATAGTTGTTACTGTAATTTCAACATTGTGGTCAAGTAATTTTAGTTTTGTGTTTCTCTTTCATGTTATTCTTTATAGTGCCAGTTTGTACGTACATCGTGAGTCTTCTCAATAACTTGGTCATCGTCATGCCAATATATTCAGAGTTATGGTGCCATCACTCAACAATATTACATTTGAACAGATATATTAGACGGCTATTATCCATTATCGATTCAAGTTTATCGTGAGTCTTCTCAATAACTTTTGGTCATCGTCATGCCAATATATTCAGAATTATGGTGCCATCACTCAACAATATTACATTTGAACATATATATTAGACGGCTATTATCCATTATCGATTCTAGTTTACTAATGCATTTGTATTTCATCACAAGAGATAACGTTTTTTGGTTGTAGTATATTCGTATTTTTATTTTTTATGATTCATTTCATAATTTTTTTATCCTGTTCGAATGCGGTTGACGTGAGTCTTATAATATATTATTATGTTATTTTTGTTACTATTGTTTGTTGCATTGTTGTTGTCGCTGATTTTGTCTTTTGCGTTCACTGTATTTTCTGAATCATGGAATTTTTAAATCCATTATTAATGAATAGTTTAGTGATTCCATCTAGTTCTGTTCTCCTGCTTTCTACATCAGAAGAGTGCGTTGTAGGCTCGGTTTACAAAGGCAGAAATCGTTCTTTCTAGGTATGTTTGACAACATTCACTATTGCCATTGAAGCATATACCTTTGTTTGTTGCTTTGGTGTATACTGAGGTTTTAAATTCATTTTGCACGTTTTGTATTATGGAATGGTAGTTTATTGTCAGTTTATTTTTCTATTATAAACTTTAATTTTGACGAATCTAGTCGTTATAAAAGTCTTGCTATTTGGTCATCATCTTTATATGTAACAAATATATCGTCAACTTATCGGCTGTAGGTTTTAGCTCTGGTTCTTCGTTAAATATCATTTCTTCGATATGTGCAACATAGAAGTTTGCAAAGAGTACTCTCAATGTAGAGCCCATTGCTACACCGTCTATTTGCTGATAAGGTGTGTTACTCGGGCCAACGAAAGGCGCCTTTTGGAATTGGTAGTGGTGAACGACTGGAATTATATATTCTATCTATTATTATGCTTATTGTGTTTTCTACAGGGACATTTGTAAAGAGTGACTCCACATTCAAAGATGCTATTTTGGTGTTAATGGATGGTTTTGTTGTAGGCAATAAATATATAAATTCCCTACTTGATTTCAGGTTATAGCTGTTAGGGGTGTAATGTGTAAGGTTGTAATTATTTTCTTGAGAATTTTTGCAATAGGGTAAGTGATCGCAGGTCTTTGGCTAATTATTGGTCGTAGAGCCTTATGCATCTTGACCGTGCCGCATGCATATCCTGGTTCATATCGTAGCCTAACGTAAGTACAAGCCTGAGTGCTCATTATGCAAATTTCATTTAGGAGGCGAACGCATTTTGTTTACATATATGTAGTAACGTAAATAAACAAGCCTTGTAAAGTGTTTAAAAATTTTATTAAACATCTAATCATGAAACGTTAACATTTTTCTGACATTTTTATGTTTAGTGTTTGTATCATTTTTCATTTTACAAAAATTATTTAACAAACAATTAGTAGCACTATACAAAATTCTATTACATATATCAATTGCAGCATGACCATTATCACAGTCTGGCCAATAACTAAATTCATGATCATCTAAAATTGAATTTGTTATTTTGATAGCCATCATTCTCTGTCTTTGTTCCTCTTTAAATATATTCCAAAAGTATCCACTTGTTAATTTCTTTACTACACAATAATTATAGGTTACTAAATCAATAATAGCCTTAGATGGATATTTCAAACCACCCCTGTCCACATTAGCAATGACAGAAAATGAAGGGTCCACATCTTCCATTGATCTATCCAATGACATCAAGTCTTTACATAATGGACACCAATTAAGCTTTTTCAGAGTTATATGTAGACAATATCCAGCAACGTATACAATAATTGGTTTTTCATCTTCCAAGTCAAAATCATTTTCATCAAGCTGTAAATTTTCATATTTTGATGGATCCAGGAAATTATCATTGACATCTTCACTGAATTCATCTTTAATAGTCTTTAGACAGCCAATTAATTTATTTTTCAAAACACTGGAGATTCTTAATTTTTTTTCTGACTCAAAGATTTGTCTAAGTGATACATTATAATTAGTTCCAGACAATTGTCTGTATAGACCAAACCTAGACTCTAAAGCATCCGTTTGGAATTTCCCCAACAAAACATATTTTAAATTAAATTCGGTACAACAGTATTTACTTGCCTCTATTAGAGTGGTCATTATCTTGGTCATTATCTTTTACAATTTTTAACAATTCTTTTAGGTTTGACAAATTATCCTTTTTATTGTTGAAAAGACCATCTCTCTCTTTTTTTTCAACTTCATCCAAAATAGTCGTTATATCAAACATATAATTGACATTTATCGGAGACTCAATATCATTAATAAATTGTAAGCGAACACTTTTAAAAAACAATTTCAGTTCTAATTCCTTGTTTACCACGAGTAGATATACTATTTCTGTTGGTACATCATGTGATAAATTAAAAAATAAGATATCATTGTCTCGACATACGACATTCCAAAATTTAGAAAGTTTAAGTTCCTTTACTTTGTCGCACAATTCAGAAAAACTATTTATTTTGTTTTTTGTTAAATATTGACTGTGCTCCATCAGACTTTTTGTAATTGCATTGTCAATATTCAAACTTTCCATTCGCTGCCTCTTTTTATCTGGCGATACCCTGAGAGTTACTGATGTAGTAGTCTGGGCATCCAGGAAATATTGAAGGAACTGAATCTTTTTTTAATCTTGGCCTCTCGAGAGAAGTCAAAATCATCTTTCCAGATTTAGCATCATATGAAGATTTTTTAGTAATGATGGCCTCAGCTGGAAAGTGCTTTTCACATACCTTAAAAAAAAAAATAATTATCATTTGTAATTAAATTATTAATAAAATTAATAAATTTCAATAAACATGCTACTCACTCACATTACAACTAATAATAACAAAACAAATAACATAGCTATGTAATGTATTATAATTTTGTAACAATGTAAGGAATTTAGTTAAAATCTGAAATCCTGGTCATGCACTTTATTCAATAGATCATGCTTACTCGTGAATGCAAAGTAGGTTTCCAATCTTTTCTCGGAATTGCAGATATCCATTTTTGAAACATGTGTTCATCTTTAGGAAAACGAAAGGAATGTACTTTTTGTTCAATTGTATAATTCCCTTGGCAAAACGGAACAATACATTTATTCACCATTATTACAAAATATTATTCCTTCCGAAATTTTTTGATAATTAAATCCGAATAACAAGTAACCAATTACGAAGAAACAAATAAAACGTGCAACGCCGATCAAGTAAACAAGAAAATGAAATAAATCGTTCGCCTCCTATTTGATCAAAACATTAAAATAGGGATGTGAGCGCTCAGGCTTGCTATTTACGTTAGGCTACGTTCATATTCGTCCATACTCTTCTCTTCTTTTCCCTTCTGTTTTGCCATTAATTTTTCTGATGATCTCCTTCAACTTTGTCTTAAGTTTAGCAGTTGGATCTAATAGCAGCTAATCTTATTAAATTCCGTATAATTAATGCTATATAATTAATCTCTATTGGCACGAATCAATACTGATAGAACAAAGACATAGGATAATAATTATTCATTCTTCCTACCAATAAATTTAGAAACAGAGGAATCATCGATAATAAATGATAACACGTAAAAGTGTCATTATATTTGACTTTAACCAAACAGTTTATATATATATATATATATATATATATATATATATATATATATATATATATATATGAGCATCTGGAAGTTAATTAACGCCGAACATGCTGTGATTTTCATCAATAATTGTATTTCTGACAGTCTTAATCCATATAATATATATATTCATATATATATATATATATTCATAAATATATAATCAATATATGTATATATATATGGAATATACATTCATATGTGTATATATATTTATATGTTCATATATACACATATGCCAACACGTGGGTTAACATGTGATTGATACACACACTTCACATAATTGACTCAGAAACGATTTAAATTTAACCTTAAAAGTAACGCCGCTATCAAAATCGCCACTGAAAACTTGTATATATACCGCTACTCCACTATTAACAATCCGATCAAGAGATGGTGCCGTTATACAAAGTTGATTTTTATTTAATTTTGGTTTTATTAAAACGAAATTGTCGATTTTCGTTTGATATGTTGGTATAATATATTTTTTACATTTTACTTTAATTTTTTTATATTTTCAATTACATTTTACTTTCAGTTGATTTACCGAATCATATTAAAGTTGTTATTTATGAGAAGCTGGCTGAAATCGAGTAACTATAAATTTAAATACAAATAAGTTTTTAATATTACAACGTGATAGCCGATACATATTGATGTTTCACTGGTGGTTTCAGTAAATTAATGATCTTTTTAAACATGAAATATGTGCTACCGTTATTATTACCCGCGCTTAGAGCGATTTTTTTTACAGGTACAAGTATGAAATCGACACTTTGATAAAATGTACAATAAAATACACTGCATCTGGATTTCAGCGAAATTCAGATTCAGCTTTTCTGTCTTTATACTGTTACCAAACTGTTAAATTTGAAGTGAAACTGAAACTTTTTTATCATTTCATTTCGCATGTTCGTATTTCTTCTTTTTTTAAATCAAAATTTTTTGATCAATTGTCGATCAATTTTGAAAATTCAGGACCTTTGTATGGTAATTAAAACCGGTAAATAACGATACATCAACCGATACCGATGCATTGGTATCTACGGCTGTTCAAAAAATATAATATGTTTAAACAAACGTTTTTAAGCACAATGAGTCACTGTCAAATCAATTACAAATATTTTTATAAACATGATAAAAACTTTAATAAAAAGTTTGTATTTGTTATGCTAGTTTTTAAATGTATTCGCATGATAGTTTAAGTTTTATTAATTCATTATTTCATTACTGATTCATTATATCAGATATTGTTTGTCGATTGGATCACATGAGAAGCTCCAGTTAGCTGCAATGATTTCAATCTTCCAAATCATCAGAAGCAGTTCAAATTTTGATTGTTAAACACGAACCGCATGAACACGTATAATTTAATGAAAATTTATAATATATTTTGTGCCCATCTCCTTCACATTTCAAATTGTCGCTTTCATTTATACATTTTTTTCAAAAATCTAATTTACTGCTAGACATTGAAAAACTTTAGTATTTAATTGTGTTATTCTTTTCATTTTTTAAAAATAGTATCCTTAAAATTGTATAAAATAATCCTATTAAATTAAGAAACCATACAAAAACTAACTTGAATGACAGACAACAAATATAAAAATCTAAGGCTTTAGGAAGAAATGGAGTGTTTTATTTCAAATAACATCTGAATGTCGACTAGTCGGAGCACTTTAACTGTCTCAATTTACAGTGATAACAATTCAAATAATTGACGGAAAAATGGCCATTACGGGAGAATAGTTTGGGTCGTTTTAAAAAATGCGTTATACTGGTGACATCAGCAAAAATTAAAATGAAAGTTTTAAAAACCTGTGGTTTCTCTACATGCGAAGCCGGTACAACAAATGAGAAAGAAATTAAGTCTTTAAAATTGAAACTTCATTTCAATTAACATACATTTTATTAAAATTATTTCGACGTTATACCGTCATTACCAGTGCGCTTTTAATTTATTTAAAATTTTTATAATTTTAATATAATTAAAAAAATATACAATTAAATTCGAAAAAGAAACAAAATTTTAATGAAAAATTTAACAACGAGAAATTTTAAAAATTGTCCAGGTGGGAACAAAACGTCAAAATTGTAGGGCGCGAAATTATTATTATTAGCGACCATGCAAATTACAGATCTATAACCTTCTATAAAGTTTTATTTTCATTTATAAAAAAAATTGACCAATTTCAATTTCTTTAACAACATAAATTCGTCACCACCAGCATCCAAAAAAGATCGACCGCTAAGCAGAACACACACATTAACACACTTTCTTAAATATGGCAGAGAACATCAGCAAACTGTTACCATGGTAAAGTGAATCATTTTCTCATTAGTTCAATCCTATCATTTTATCATGTACCACAACTATTGCAATCATTAATAATGTCGATATGTTCATATTATTTAATAAAAGTTTCCATCCACGACTGACCATGCACTCACCTAGCATCAAAGCAATAAAACATAACACCAAAACAATTAGACCGAACAAAGAAACCATATCAATTAGTAAAGAAGACAGTGAAATGGTCACTGATGACAATAAAGGAACAAAGGCCTACGTTATAAAAACCCTTCTACAATGTGTTGAAGATTGAAAAATCGAAATAGTTCCTATACACTCAAGAATGTATTGGAAATCTATATGATTTGTGGAGGGCCGGCCGCCGCTGTTGAATAACTTCAGCTCTACTCGAGAATGTCTAAACAAATGGTTTTCAAACGTTTCTTGAAAGCATGTCAGCTCATGTTGAGTTTCTTCAAATCTACGGGTACATTATTCTAATATTAATAAAATAAATAATGAAGGCAAGAATTTTGTTAAAAATGTTGAGAAACGTAACAAAAAAATTTATCCAACGCTAGGAAAAAAAGGCGTGCAGATGGAATCAGTAGGATTAATGGAAGTAAATTGTTTTCATGTTTTGCTGAAGTTTCAGAGTCTGAGGTTAAAACACTACTCAAGTCACCAGCGAAAACATGCATGTTAGATATTATTCCGACGCACATCTTGAAAAAATATGTTAGTTTGTTCATTACGTTTATCACAAGTTTCATTAATGCAAGTTTAAAATTTGGCATTTTTCCGCTATACTGTAAACATGCGGTTAAGGTTAGGTTAAAGGTTTCTCTCTCTCTCTTGCGTTTGCTTCAGAGGTTTCAACGACAAACACACACAGCGTATATGAATACGCGTGCAAACCACGCATCGTACACATTGTTTATGATGGGCGGGGATCTCTGTGTATTCGAACGCAGTCATTACAATAGAAAGACCAGACGCCTTTAACCATTGAGCCATCACTCCTCTTTTGAAAAATACTAAGACCAACAAATAAGATTTGAAAAATTATCGTCCAATATCAAATTTGCTTCCTCTCAAAGATTGTTGAACGTGTTGTGGCAAAGCAACTTTTAACACATTTGGAGTTGCACAATCTGATGCCCATCAATCAATCTGGCTATGGACGTTATCACACCAATGAAACCGCGTTGTTGAAGATTTTGTCTGAACTCTATTCTCCCATTTAAGACTGGTAATGTGCTTATCTGAAGTTGATGCCTGGATGTAAAACAATGGATTAAAATTAAATCAATGCAAATCTAAGTTTATGCTGGTGGCAACTTGGCAGCAGTTGGCGAAAATTAAAATCAACTTAGTAAATGTTGGTGGTCACGAGATAGAGTTCTGTGAAAGTGTAACGAATTTGGGTTTTGTTCTGGATCCAAATCTGTCAATGAAACATCACTTAAAAATGCTCTCTTCATCATGTACATATCACCTGCATAAGTTGTATCGCATTCGAAGCTATTTAAATAGATCAGCCATGTAGACATGTTCATGCATTCATTCACTCGCGGTTGGACTATTGTTTTATGGCTTCCCAAATAAATGACCTGCTCATCAATTATTCAAAGTAGTCTCGCTCCTACGAAGCAACTCCGTAATAAGCCGGCCAACATTAGCACTTGCTTCAAACCCAAGAACATCTCATTAAAGCTTAGCGTGGAAGCTAGCATTGAAAGCACAAAAACTCAGACCCATTATATAAATAGCTGAAGTATTTATATTTCAAAGGAATACAAATTATCACGGAAATCTATTATAACAAACATCAAAAAGTACTTCAGTCGATACAGAATAGAGCAGCAAAAGTTATTGTTGGCGGACTAAAATTTAATCATGTGAGTAAGACTCTGAGAGATCTTCACTGGTTGACTGTTGAAAAGCAGAAAATTTTCAAGTGTGCATTTCGATGTATAAGGCCATGAATGGACATTTGCCTAAATATTTGTTAAAAATAAATTTTAAAAAAATCAGTTACGTCGAAGGGCATTTGCTTGAGAAGTCATCGCTCAAAGTTAATGATAGCAAACAGTGCTCAATTGTGTACTGGTGCACGAAGCATTGCCAGAGTCTTTGAAGAAACCGAAGATGACCATCGATGCTTTCAAGAAGAGTCTTAAAACATCAAAAATTAATTATTGTTTATTTACGCGTACTCAAAACAATTGTTTATTTGTAGCGGTTTTGAAATTTTCTTTTTATTTAATTTGCGCAGTACAAATGATTTGAAATAAATAAATAAAATAATATGTGAATTTATATATATATATATATGCTGGTAAAAGAATATAATTAATGCAGTAATTTATGAAAGTTACAGAATTTCTAGCTCACGAGAAAGATGGAGCATTCGTTGCTCGCGTTCTTGTTCACCTGGTAAGTTTTTCCGGTTTGTCATAGTGAATGCTGGTAAAAGACCATAAATTAATGCAGTAATTTATGAAATCTACAAAATTAGTAACGAATATATGTAAATGTAACAAAAGTCTGTAACAGAGGCCTAATATTAAAGAAACCGCCTAAATTACTACAAAAATGACTAAAAATAGAAATTTTGATCTACCATTTACTAAAACCGAAAATAAAAGAACATTCAATGAAGCATGTCTCGTCTCAACTTTTCAGAATCATATAAGACCAGAGGTAATTTTATTAGCAAAATCATAAATAATGGCCTATAGTAATGCAATTACGTTCAAATCCAAACATTATAAATAGGAAACAAGATAAACTTTCTTCTTACGTAATTTTGAACGCACATAAGAATACCAGTAAATTTTGTAAAATCACAAAAAATTTCACTGACTATTTTAAAAAGCATTAAATTATTAAATTTAATTGATAATATTAATAGATATAAAAATTTAAAGTTTAATAAATTAGTAGGCGTACATGTACCAGGATACATGTGCGGGAACGTGAAAACACAAACCAGGCTTCCCATTAAAACTTTCCGTTAAGTTCAACAACGACTTACAACATAGCTAAACAATTATATTCCATTCTCACGCCACACATTTATTTATTCAGCCAAGGATTTCAATGAGTGATAAACAATAAAACTCATGTAACTAGTAAATGAATAATTTGGAACATCTGACTCTTTCAATGTTTATTACTAGTTTTTGATAAAAAATTGAATTAATTATTTAATCCTTAAATTTTTTTGCATGAACTTTGTAACAACTGTTGTTCTAAATAATTTATGTAAAGCAAACGATAAAATCAACTTTCTCCCAAATAACATCCTGAAATTTTTTTGCATACATTTCTGATGCAGCCGCCTTTATGTTATATCCAAACTAATATTTCATTCTCACAATAAATTTTACAATGCAAACATACACTCAGATATTCAACACACTCGATTCAAAACTGATCAAGAAAGTAGAAATTAACAGCAACCACGTTATCCAACCCCATTTCAAACAATCAAAATTACTCCACACAACCTTCGTCAACGTAAACATAACTATCTTAGTCGTCATTCTATCAATTTACTAGAATAAGACCTTCATCACAATACACCTTAAATATATTAAAACTCAATAAATATTTATTTCTTCAATATTGCAAACACATAACCTACCTACTATGTCAAACAATCCACAATTTATTCTTTTTTTAATTCTTATTTATTTTCATTTCTATTATGCCTTACTCCGTTATTTACTTTCTATTTTCGTTACATATTATTGGCCTGCAATGTTGTAACAGTTTCTACAGTAGATTCTAATTTTTTAACGTATAATAAAAAAATCCTCCATACTATTGCTGGCATTTAAAATATTTTAAAATTCTTCCTCTAGTTCTCTGGATTGAAGACTGGAATTTATTTAATTCTCCACTGGCTTTTAAAATATTTTCAAAGTATTCCTTTAGTTTTCTGAATTGAAGACTGGTATTTAGATTTAGTGTCTGTTCTTAATACATGTTCCATCACACATACGCAGCAATTACAGCCATCTTTTAGCTTGCGCCTCATATTTAAAAATCCTTTTATACCTCACTTCATTAATATGCGGTATTATATTTGGCGGTATGATATTTTGAAAAGATATCCATTTAACCATTGTTTATAAGTTATGGTATTACCATTAGTTAGAAAGTTATGCAATTAATCTTTGTTAAAGAGTTGTGATAATTACATCGGTAGCGAGTTATTTGAAATCTTTGGCTAGAACAAACTTAAAGTGAATTTAAAAAAGCTTTAGAATTAATTCAAATTTTAACTCAACTGTTATTATATCCATAAAAAATGATACGATCGGGATGATTGAATTTTTATTCAATAAAAAGCATTTTCAATGTTTTTTTGCACTAAATCTTTGAAAATTTTTCACAAAAACCTACGCTCAGAAATTTATAAACAGACATGGATTTTTTTATTTATAAACCCTGAAATTTTTACAGGGTTAGTAGGGGATGGTTTGCTAAATTTTTGTTCGAAAAAACACGTTTTTATGGATATTATCATTAAATATAAAAAATTGTTTTAACGAAAACTGAGCTTCAGTTTTTTTTATTTTTTACCGAATATGTTGTTAATAAACTCTTAAGATTTCACAGGCCTTTGCGAGTTATATGAGTTTTATTGTTTATCACTCATGAAATACTTGGCAAGAATAAATTTAAAGTGTATTTAAAACAAAACAATGCTTCAGAAATAATCAGGATCAAGTCTGTAGAGATCAAGCGTTCAAATTTTAATTGTATATAACTATATGCATATATATATAATTTATAAAATATATATATATATATAATTTTGGTTCAAGACACTTGGGAATGATTTACGACCAACCATTAGAAAAATAGAAAAACTAAACAAGAAAGCTAACTAACACAGAACATGCTTGGATTTTCTTAAATAATTGACAGTTTTAATCAAATATATATACAAATAAAGCTAACAATCCAATATATACACATAAAGCTAACAACCCTCTACGACCAATGATACGACCTTCACCACTTACCCCATTGCAAAAATACTCAAAAAAATAATTCATCATAAACCCCTAACAGCCACAACCTAAAATCAAGTAGAGAATTCATAGATTTATTGTCTACAACAAAACCATCCATTAATACCAAAATAGCATCGTTCGATGGAAAGTCACTCTTTATGTATATTACTGTAGAGGACACAGTCAATCAATCGATCTTGGTTATGCGTCCAGAGACCCGGTTCCCGAGGTAGGACGTTGTTTTCTTTGCCATTAGCTTTTTGCGCCAAATTAGACGATCAGTTGTATCCATTTCATTTAAATTTAGAGCTTTCATGTTTTGCTCGATTGTTTGTGACCAGGACTTCTTTGGACGGCCTTTGAGACGTGTGCCAGGTACTTCAACATCTGCTAGAGAAGTTATGGCACTGTTTCCACTTCGTTTGACATGACCAAACCACCGCAGACAATGTTGCCGGCATTCGTCTTTTATATTATCTAAACCAGCACGACGCAAGATTTCGGTAGATTTGATGTGGTCCTTCAGACTAATTCGTTGCATCCATCGGAGCATTTTCATGTCGATTCGTCAAAGTTGTTGTTCCAGTTTGGTGGTCATTGGCCATGTTTCTGCACCATATAACACCGAACGTATCACAGATTTATAAAGTCTTGATCGTAGTGGTAGTGGGATGTCACGCCGCATCAATATAGAGGCAAGAAGATGCCATTTATTCATTTATTCCAGGCTGCACGTATGCGTGCTCGAACGGCAGCTTCAGTTGTTCCAGGACAATCTAGAACATCCCCTAGATATAGAAACGATGTGACTTTCTCTACCTTAATGGCTTCAAAAACATTGCTATTTCAAATGGATTGATGCAAGCAGGACAAACAAAATTGGACACACATTAGACGGCATTGAGCAATTTCTCCAGATTTCACGGCAAAGTTGTAGTAACGTTTAGATATCTGCATACCAGATGCTATGATAATGTTATTTGTGAGTTCTGCTGCCTTTCCATCCTTTATAGCTTTCAGAGTATCCGTAAGCTCCTCTACAATGATGTCTGGAATCGGACCTTCGATGAGTGGAGCGTCAAAGTTAACATTGATGGGATTTGTTTCGGTTGAAGTATTCTCTCCACTGTAGCTTGATCTCATCTTGTTCAAGAACTATCTCATTTTTGTCATTTTTGATACATGAGGCACCAATTATGTTTTTTTTCGTACGCTTTACTTGTTTAGACTCTCTGCACTTATCTTTATGGTCATCAACAGACTTGGATTTTTTGCCATTGCTTGTATGCAACTTTCTTTTCAGCTATTGCATTTTGTACACTGTCATTCCACCACCAAGTGTCCCGTTCATGCTGACGTTTTGTACCAGTTTTCCCATACAAACTGTAGTTACAGCGTTTATTAAAACGGTTTTGTATGTACTCCAATCTGTACTGGCTTGCGATTGGTGGTCTAACTGTGTGGCGACAATCTGTTGAAATTTTTCTCGATGAATATTGCTTTTCAGCTTCCACGATTTGATTCTCCGAGGCATTTGTTTAGACTTATGTTTTGACAGTTCGACAACCAGGTCTGCTACAAGGAGTCTATGTTGGACGACACATGATTCGCCAGGTAGAGCTTTGACATTTATGAATTGCCTTCGGTGTTGTTGCTTGACAGCGAAGAAATCAAAATGCACATACTTTTGTATGTTATGAGATGTTCCAACCTCTTTCTAATATATGTGTTCAGCAAATTCAAGGATGGTTCGCCAGGTATAACTTTGACGTTTTTGAATAGCCTTCGGTGTTGCTTGACTTTCAATTTCAATCAATTTGCGTGGCTGATGGTCAACTTTTGTATGTTATGAGATGTTCCAACCTCTTTCTAAAATATGTGTTCAGTAAACAAAACCCGTGACTTTCAGCAAACTCAAGGATGCGGTTGCCATCTTCATTCCGTTTTCCATAGCCAAAACCACCATGTACGTTGTCAAAACCATCTGTTTTCTCTCCAACGTAGCCATTTGAGATCGGCTTTAATCAGGATTGTTTCAGATTTTAGTATTGTTGAGATGGTGTCAGAGAATGCAGCCCAGAAGTCATTTTTCATCTCTTCTGATTCGCCTGTCTGTGGTGCGTATGCAGAAAAAAATAATCATTGTTTGCTTTTCTATGCGAAGCTTGATCCACATGAGATGTGAATTAATCTTTTTAATATCCAGTACTTCTTGGGCTAGCGGTTTTCTGACAAAAATTGCAACACCATTTTTGGCCGTCTTTTGACCATTCCAGAATAGTTTATATTTTTTTTTGTCTGAGTTGATATGACAGACACCATTCGATTTCCATCGGGTTTCCTGAAGGCAGTGCCTTCTACATTCGATCATTTCTGCGATTTCCATGCTGCGGCCAGTCAGTGATCCAACATTGAGCGTTCCAAATCTAAGTACCATAGAGGGGCCATTCTGAATTTTTCTAAACATCCCTCCGCTATTGCTTACTTCCCAGGGCCTCTTGGCACCCCTTGACCACTTAAGGCCTAGGGGCCATTGTTTTTTTTTGTGATGGCATAAGTTGGGGAAAAGTTTTTGCATCCTGACACCCATCCTGACGACAACCGCCATTTAGAAAGCGGTAGGCCTAGCCTTTTGCTCAAAAGCACGCAAGGCAGCGTGGATGCAGTTTTATGTCATGCCCAGGACTAGGACCATACATAGCCATCTAATATTTTGTTCAAAATGTAATATTGATGAGTGTGGGCATCATAATTCCGAATATATTGGTATGACGACGACTAAAGTTATCAAGAAAACTGACGATGCACGTACAAACTGGCGCTATAAAAAATCACATGAAATAGAAACACATAGCTAAAATTACTAGAAAAATCTTGGACCATAATGTAGTCGAACATTCAGTGAAATACGAAAGTTTGTTTTTTTTACTAAAATACTCCGGCAAATAAATTTAAAAAAATTTACAATAATTGCGACGCGTAAAATCTTCCTTCGACATTGCAAGAATTAATTTGCAGAATTAATAAAATTAATAAATAAATTTAAATTATTAAATTTCAACACAAACGGTTTTAAAAAAATTTTGAGGTGTTTTTTTCAATGATAATCGAAATGATATGAAATAATAAAAAAAACTATGTACCTAATTACGTTATTTAAATATTTTTTCAACTTATTCAAATCAACTTTCTAAATACATTTAGCTTCTCTCTATAATCTAGTTTAGAATGTGCATCCAAATAAAAAAATTTTTGTAAATTTTTAAACTTGAATGTGTAAAATTGCCAAAAAGAAAGTGCGAGTTGTGTAACATATAAAAACAAAAAGAAATGAAAAAAAAACAATATAATAAGAAGCAATAAGTACCTTACTAGTGCAATGACAAATAAAAAGTAAAATGTAGAATTTTAATGTCAGTCAATCGTTTTGAAACAGTTCGTTGACATAAACTTTATTCTCCAAAACATTATTCAAACCGCTATGTTGCTTCAGTTTAAATCGAATCATCATTAGATCCACCATTTTCTTAATGCAATAAGCTCCAACGATTATTTCCGTAATTATAAACAAAGCTAAAATAATATTAAAACATCGTTCAACAGGTTTTTGCAAAAAGGGACCATAAACACTCAGAAATATTATTGCTGGAAACTGTAACGCTACAGTCAAAACCCAGAAAGCTGCCAACTCCGTAACCTAGTTGAATTTAAAAAAATGTTTTACAAAAAAAAAAATCTAAATTAAAAAAAATCTAAATTAAAAAAAAATCTAAATTTAAACATACTAAAATAATGCATTAAAATATAATTACTTTTTCCATTAAATTTCCTACATATGCCAAATAGATTCGTGTGAGTTCAACCAGCGACATGCATGCATATAAACTGACCATAATCGTTTCGTAAAAGTTCGGCAAAATATCTATCTAAAATTGAAATATTTTTTGATTATTCATATGCAAAAATAAATCATAAACGAAATAAATACGATAATTATCTACAACTCAAAAACCATTCGTGATGTGAATGAATTAGATAACTTCGGTAAGAAGTGCTTCCCAGAAACCTTTTTATCCCACCGAATACTTAATTTTCAAATAAAAACCATTTTAATATTATTTGATACTCATTATCAACTTTGGTATTTTAATATTCAAGACATTCGTAGAAAAGAACTGACAAACAAAATTAACAACTCAAGCTGCGGTACGCTCAACAGGGACACAACAACAATAGCATAAAGCAACCATTCGTTTAAAGCAACAATTTTATTCAATGGATGGCCTCCTCCCATACATTAAATCTGTTTGAGCAAATACTACTAGGATCTGTCAATGGAACACTTGCACAACTTCTGTGCATCATCATCGATAGCTACTAATCAAAATTGAACAACATTTGTCTGTTTTGCTACTTCTAACCGGACGATGTGTCATATCTCTTAAATAGCATCAAGAACCCTATTCATATCAACGCAATAGACCTTTGGGATAGTCCTGTGGAGGTTGCCAAATGGCTACAGATTCGGTTGAACCAATTGGCTGACGTAATATATAGGGCAACAACAACAAGCAATTAAAAAAATATAAATACGTAACGCGCAAAAAGCAACTTATATGTTAATTCTAAAGCAAGAAATAGTTTTAAATTTTAATACAATCTATATTTTATGATTTTATATTTGATTTTAACTAAAATAATGTTTTTTATATTAACCGTAACTTCATTTCTCCATTAAAAATTTTTATTTATTTTTTATCATTATTATTGTGTTTTACAATTTATTTTTTCCATTTTTATTCTTTTATATTGCCTTTAATATTTTTACTATTGCATGTTGTCCCTGACCTGTGCCTTCGTCAAAGCTTAAAGATTAATAATAGAAATATTATCGCGTCTTTTCTCACTAGACAAAATAATCTATTTCAGCGTAACAGCATTCCAATACATTTGATCTGGTCATTACCTCAACTTAGTTTGCTGACTGCATAAATCATCACCTTTCGATCTCACTTGCTCTTCCCATAACATAATTTTTTATTAGTTATCTTTATTATAATTGTAATCTTTAAATTTTTAAAAATCCCATGTATTTAAGGAGATTAAGAAGCAAAGTCAGCAGCGAAGTTTCTAGAAGGTGTGATGCGAAGTTGTAATTTATGTAGTTTAGTGTTTCTATTACTGTTGGCATTCAAATAAAGTGACAAATATTTAACTTTGTCACTTAAATATTTAACAAATAACAAATATTTAAGTGACAAACACATCCGAAATCATCTAATCATGTAATACATCTGACATACTGAAAATTTCCAAAAAACATTGACAATCAATAAAAAAAAAGTAAATGTTATAGCAGAATAAAAAGGCATGGAATGCAATTTTTTAAAATTATTATTACTAGTAGAAAAAAATAAAACTATAATAATCTATACTCGCAGAAAGGCAGACTAATGAAATAAAAGAAATAAAAACTACTTTTCATGCCTTTCTATAATTAAAAACTCTGCAGAAGGTTTGTTTATCTTAAGATACTGATATAAGTGTTAATCATTGTCGTCATTCTATAAATTAAATTGTCGTCATTAAATCAGTGAACCTACGTTCCCTTATATATCTCTCAGCTTGGTCACAAAATTACCATAGAAAGAGCAAACAATAATTCCATTAATCAATTGTAAAATAATCGTTTTCGCTCATTACAACACAAATTCCTACAATTAACGTCGCTGTCATCGTGGAAAAAATTTAGTTTGTCTACGTGAACGGCTTTCATGTTTTTCGGTGTTCTTGAGTGCGTTGAACAACGTCATTCAATCTGGAAAAAACTCGGTATGGCCTTTCTAATCTCGTTGAAGCTTCGCAAACCGTCTTTTTTTTACACGGGCTGATACAGCACACGATACGTCACACCAAGTCATTATTTTTGAAACCTGCATCTAAGTGTTTTTATCTTGCGACTGTGAGGCTTTGTAAGTGGCTGGTTTCATAAGGCTTTTGTAGCCGTTATGTCCATAAATTTCGGGGTACTTGTTAGGTGCGCCAGCAAAATCTATCACTTCATGTCTTGCGCTAGATGCTGAGTAGTTTCCCCTGGTTTCTGCATACGGCATTCAGGTTGTCTTCCGTATATTTGTTTCCATATTTGTCTTGCGCGTCGGTTAGAATCTCGAAGCTGTGACGGTCTTTGGCAATGCCGTCGTTCGTTCTCTCGCGTTCCATCTATAGTTGAATTCTGCTGCTACCAGTAGTTTGATGGTACTTACCAGCAGTTTTATTAGTTTTAACTTTGGTAGTTTTATTAGTTTGGCAGGCGCGTATCTCTATTTTCTGAGTAATTTTCTTTATTTCTCACTGCGGTTTCCGTTCTAGCTCGTCCACTCTTTGGTTTAATGCTATTAATTTCTCTGACATTTCGGCAGTGTTGACGTAAATATTCAAAAAATGTTAATTATAAATACCAAGTACTCAGTAAAAAATGTACTTAAGTATTAATTACTGTAGACAATTGAGTACTTTGTATTTAAGAACTAAGTACAAGTACTAAGTATATAAGTACATGTGAAAATTAAATCAAAATGTTTTATTTTTGATACACTTCTGACACTTTATTTTCAATAAGTTTATTTATTAACAGTCACACACAGTTCAGTTTGTTCTTTTTTAGCAACAGAAACTCAAATGAGTCATTATCACACAGTCTATTTCTTTTGATGTAAGAATTAGTCCAGCTTGACTGAACAAACGTTCAACGGGAGCCGATGATTGTGTTGTATTTTAGAAACAATCTTGCAACATCTAACTCAACAATTATTTTAGTCAGTAATTATAAGAAAAAAATATTATTTATAAGTGTAAGTACTGAAAAAGTACTTAAGTACATAGGTACAATTTTTTTCACATACTTAAGTACAAGTATATAAGTGCAATTTTAGTACTTAAGTACGTACGTAAGTACTCGGTATCCCTGCATTTCGGTGACTTGTAATTTCAGTTTGATTGCCTGCTGATCAAGTTTTCTATTCTTTCTTCTTTCAGTTCAGAAATGTAAAAAGATCAATCAATCAATCTTCGTTTAGCGTCCAGAGACCCAATTCCCCCAAGGTAGGACGTTGTTTTCTTTGCCATCAATTTTTTGCGCCAAATTAAGCGATCAGTTGTATCCATTTCATTTAAATTTAGAGCTTTCATATTTTCTAGGTCTTCAAATAGAAACTCTATTGGATGGAAGCATAAAAGTTTGTCAATCTGGTTCAATCAATCTTCGTTTTGCGTCCAGAGACCCGGTTTCCCGGGGTAGGACGTTGTTTTCTTTGCCATCAACTTTTTGCGCCAAATTAGACGATCAGTTGTATCCATTTTATTTAAATTTAGAGCTTTCATGTCTTGCTCGATTGTTTGCGACCAGGACTTCTTTGGACGGCCTTTGGGACGTGTGCCATGTACTTCAACATCTGCAAGAGAAGTTATGGCACTGTTTCCACTTCGTTTGACATGATCAAACCACCGCAAACGGTGTTGCCAGCATTTGTCGTTTATATCATTCGTCATTTGTTTTTTACACAGAACCACTTACAATTTTACATATTTATTACATTATCTATAATCTTTTTATTATGTTTTTCATGCACATTTGAACCCCTGAGCCGGCCAACATGCAACTTACGTCGTCTCCCCATTTACCGACCTAGGAAGGATGAACGGCTGGGTTGGCCTGGGATCGGCTACCCGGATGAGCCTGCAGAAACTGCAGGATTCGAACCCGATCGTGGGAGTAGTAGACCGACACGCTAACTAATCGGCCACTTATTTTTGAATTATTAAACTATTTTCTTTGATTTTTCATAAACTTTTAAAATTTTAGTGAGATAAATATTGAATTATACCATATATTTAAAAACATTTTAAGACCCTTCTTTTTATTGTAATTTCGTCTTAATACGTGAATGTTAGGAGCTTCAAAACGCAGTTTTCAGGCTCTGAAATTACAAATTATAAATTACAAAAATGTTATAAACAATAAAAGAAATTGCTGAAATACTAGACAAATTACAAAAAATTCTACCACAGAAATGATAAATATTACAAAAAGCAGGAAACTGGAAAAAACACTTCAATTTTAACGACGATGAACCTTATAATAACATCGTTTCAATTCCAGTTACATGTCATAAACATTAGTAAAACCTTTGCGGATTCCAGATAAAATAATTATTCTTCAAAAATTGCCATTAAGCTTTTAATTATGTTTGGCAAAATCATATTAATATTCTAAAGAAAGGCCGTGAGGGTTCAGTCATGCCAATGCCAAAACCTCGTGAAGTCAAAAAACCCCAAAAATTACCGACCAATATCACTGAACTTGTAAAATTGAGTTGTGAATCAAAGAACGAATTAAACTAAATCGATTAACACATTTATCAAATTAATAAAATTTACAAAGTTAAAATCATGTGAGCTCCAGATAAGTTTGATAAATTTTCATCAGGAAGATATACCTAGCCTTTCAATGCCATACTTCGACATCAAATTAAACTAATAATAAACAAACATGTTGTAACTTTTTGGTAAAATAATTAGAACCATTTTGAAACTCAGCTGTCATTGACAAAAAAAAAATATTTACAATAATAATAGGATAACAGAAAGTTGTTTATTAAATAAAACAAAAGTACTAATCTATCAGCATACTGATAAAAAATCAACTGTACAACATTTCTTTAAATGTGATAAAGCCAAATTAAAAAGAATCACTATCGTAAACTATCAACTGTACAACATTTCTTTAAATGTGATAAAGCCAAATAAAAAAAAATCACTATCATAACTTATTTGACAATAAAAAACTATAGCAGTAATAAAAACTCTGAGAAATAAAACTGTAATCAGATTTAAAACATTCAAAATAAAGTTTAAACTCAACGAATGAATAGTCGATCAACATTAATCAATCAATCAATCAAAACTGTAATCAGATTTAAAACATTCAAAATAAAGTTTAAACTCAACGAATGAATAGTCGATCAACATTAATCAATCAATCAATCTTTGCTTTGCGTCCAGAGACCTGGTTCCCCGAGGTAGGACGTTGTTTTCTTTGCCATCAACTTTTTGCACCAAATTAGACGATCATTTGTACCCGTTTCATTTAAATTTAGAGCTTTCATGTCTTGCTCGATTGTTTGTGACCAGGACTTCTTTGGACGGCCTTTGGGCCGTGTGCCAGGTACTTCAACATCTGCAAAAAGTTATGGCACTGTTTCCACTTCGTTTGACATGACCAAACCACCGCAGACGGTGTTGCCGGCATTCGTCCTTTATATCATCTAAACCAGCACGACGCAGGATTTCGGTAGATTTGATGTGGTCCTTCAGACTAATTCGATGCATCCATCGGAGCATTTTCATGTCGGTTCGTCAAAGTTGTTGTTCCAGTTTGGTGGTCATTGGCCATGTTTCTGCACCATATAACACCGAACGTATCACAGATTTATAATGTCTTGATCGTAGTGGTAGTGGGATGTCACGCCGCATCAATATAGAGGTAAGAAGATGCCATTTATTCATTTATTTCAGGCTGCACGTATTTGACGCCACTGGTTACACTGCTGACACTTGATTGAATTGTTACCTACACCAGCTTCACAAACTGAACATGGCCATTATCCAGTAGCTGTGGATTGGATGGGTTTACCAGTGTTCATTGCTTTGATTTTCTTGATGTTGACTTTGAATCCATGATAGGCGAGTCTGTGCTGCATTCTGCTCAAACGTGGTTGTTAAAACGATTCATATTAGATTCCAAATGTCACCAGTGCGTATCGGTTTTGTGATTTCTTCCATCACAGTTATAAATAACAGTGGTCTGAGAATCGAGCCAAAGTGTACTCCAACGCCGATGCATCTGTAATTCCAACCGTTGTGCTGACGAAAGTCTTCGTATTCGTATACATTTCCATCACAAGTCGAGCAAGATATCTGGATTGAGTTGTCGACGTAGACTCCACCTGATTGCTTCACGGGGAACTCGATCAAATGCTTTTTCAAGGTCTACAAAATGTGTGATAGTTGTTGATGCTTTACGAGGTACTTTTCTTGCAGTTGCCGAAGGATGTGAATTGTATCAATTGTTGATTTGCTTGTTTTGCTATACAATACAGAGATTTAATTTGCTTTTAGTGAGCCACTTTCTGCACAGATCTGCCCGAGCCAGTGCGACTTGACGTCTTGCATAGTTGTTCTTCTTACGGAAAATTTTATGGTCATCAAAGACTTTGATTTTTGCCATTGCTTGTATGCAACTTTCTTTTCAGCTATTGCATTTTGTGCACTGTCCCGTTCATGCGGACGTTTCGTACCAGTTTTCCCACAAACTCTAGTTGTGATTGATGCACCGTTTAGATAAACGGTTTTGTATGTACTCCAATCTGTACTGGCTTGCGATTGGTGGTCTAACTGTGTGGCGACAATCTGTTGAAATTTTTCTCGATGAATATTGCTTTTCAGCTTCCACGTTTTGATTCTCCGAGGCATTTGTATAGACTTTATGTTTTGACAGTTCGACAACCAGGTCTGCCACAAGGAGTCTATGTTGGGCGACACATGATTGCTTCACGGGGAACTCGATCAAATGCTTTTTCAAGGTCTACAAAAATGTATATCCCGATATGATGAACAGTTCAATGGATCACCTTTGTCTTTTTATAGCGGAACTCTCATGCTATAGTTCCATTCAGTTGGCTTTGAGCAATTTCTCCACACTTCACGGCAATGTTGTAGTAACGTTTGGATACCTGTAGTACCAGATGCTTTGATAATGTCATTTGTGAGTCCAGAGGGCCCTGCTGCCTTTCCATCCTTCATAGCTTTCAGAGCTTCTGTAAGCTCCTCCACAGTGATGTCTGGAATCGGATCATTGATGGGATTTGTTTCGGTTGAAGTATTCTCTCTACTGTAGCTTGATCTCAACTTGTTCAAGAACTATCTCATTTTTGTCGTTTTTGATACATAAGTCACCAACTATGTCTTTTTTCATACGCTTTGCTTGTTTTGCTATACGGTACAGAGATTTCATTTGTTCACCTTGCTTTCAGTGAACCACTCTCTGCACTGATTTGTCCGAGCCAGTGAGACTTATCTTTATGGTCATCAACAGACTTTGATTTTTGCCATTTTTGTATGCAGCTTTCTTCTCAGCTATTGCATTTTGTACACTGTCATTCCACCACCAAGTGTCCCGTTCATGCTGGCGTTTTGTACCAGTTTTCCCACAAACTGTAGTTGTGGTGTTTATCAAAACGGTTTTGTATACACTCCAATCTGTACTGGCTTGCGATTGGTGGTCTAACTGTGATGTTCTAACCTCTTTCTAAAATTGTGTTAAGTAAACAAATCCCGTGACTTTAAGCAAACTCAAGGATGCGGTAGCCATCTTCATTCCGTTCTCCATAGCCAAAACCGCCATGTATGTTGTCAAACCATCTGTTTTCTCTCCAACGTGGCCAGTGAGATCGCTTCTAATCAGGATTGTTTCAGATTTTGGTATTGTTGAGATGGTGTCAGAGAATGCAGCCAAGAAGTCATTTTTCATCTCTTCTGATTCGCCTGTCTGTGGTGCGAATGCAGAAAAAATAATCATTGTATGCTTTTCTATGCGAAACTTGATCCACAAGAAACGTGAATTAATCCTTTTAATATCCAATACTTAGAATAGGAGTAAAACTTTGATATTTTTAATTGATTTTGATTTGCTTATTTTGTTAGTTCGAAAAAAAATTGAAATTTTTGTAAGAACCACATGAAATCTAAGTAAAATTTTGTATTTACTTTTAAAATAAGCAATGTAATTACAACCAATAACCAGACTGGAAAAAATACAGCATTAAAGTACAGCAACATTTGAAGAAGGAGAACTCCAAGGCAACTTTTTGCTTTAAATTGAAAAAAATTAACATTAATTATTTTGTTTTCAATTTTTAAAAAATCCAAAAATCCAAACTTAAATAAAATCTAAGCAGATTATGCTAACAATGCAAAATTTAAACATGAACAAAGTGATTAGGTTAAAATGTTTTAAAATTTAAATTGTTAGGTACCATTAACGTAAAAATTTCAATTATTATTAACTATAAGGTTTACAAAACAAGGTTTTTTTAAAAGGTTTTTTTTCTGCATATGCACCACAGACAGGCGAATCAAAAAGGTAAAAAATTACTTCTGGGCTGCGTTCTCTGACACCAATTAAACAATACCAAAATCTGAAGCGATCTCATTGGCCACGTTGGAGAGAAAACAGATGGTTTTGACAACGTACATGACGGTTTTGGCTATGGAGAACGGAATGAAGATGGCTACCGCATCCTTGAATTTGCTGAACACATATATTAGAAAGAGGTTGGAACATCTCATAACATACAAAACATACATACATAAGATACAGCCACGCAAATTGATTTCTTCGCTGTCAAGCAACAACACCGAAGGCAATTCATAAATGTCAAAGTTATAACTGGCGAATCATGTGTCGCCCAACATAGACTCCTTGTAGCAGACCTGGTTGTCGAACTGTCAAAACATAAGTCTAAACAAATGCCTCGGAGAATCGAAACGTGGTAGCTGAAAAGCAATATTCATCGAGAAAAATTTCAACAGATTGTCGCCACACATTAGACCACCAATCGCAAGCCAGTACAGATTGGAGTGTATACAAAACCGTTTTAATAAACAATAAAACTACAGTTTGTGGGAAAACTGGTACAAAACGCCAGCATGAACGGGACACTTGGTGGTGGAATGACAGTGTACAAAATGCAATAGCTGAGAAGAAAACTGCATACAAAAATGGCAAAAATCAAAGTCTGTTGATGACCATAAAATTTTTCGTGAGAAGAAAAACTATGCAAGACGTCAAGTCGCACTGGCTCGGACAAATCAATGCAGAGAGTGGTTCACACAAATGAAATCTCTGTACCGTATAGCAAAACAAGCAAAGCGTATGAAAAAAGACATAGTTGGTGACTTATGTATCAAAAACGACACAAATGAGATAGTTCTTGAACAAGATGAGATCAAGCTACAGTGGAGAGAATACTTCAACCGTGTTAAATTAAATAAATCCCATCAATGTCAACTTTGACGCTCCACCCATTGAAGATCCGATTCCAGACATCACTGTAGAGGAGCTTACAGAAGCTCTGAAAGCTATGAAGGATGGAAAGGCAGCAGGGCCCTCTGGACTAACAAATGACATTATCAAAGCATCTGGTACTACAGGTATCCAAACGTTACTACAACTTTGCCGTGAAGTGTGGAGAAATTGCTCAAAGCCAACTGAATGGAATTATAGCATGAGAGTTCCGCTATAAAAAGACAAAGGTGATCCATTGAACTGTTCATCATATCGGGATATACATTTTTGTAGACCTTGAAAAAGCATTTGATCAGCAGTGTAACCAGTGGTGTCACAAACGTTGTTCAAAAATAATTGTCACTTTATATAAAGTGTCCAATTTTGTTTGTCCCGCTTGCTTCAATCCACAACAACAAATACGAAGCCATTAAGGTAGAGAAAGTCACGTCGTTTCAACATCTAGGAGATGTTCTGTGATACGTCCGGTGTTGTTATATGGTGCAGAAACATGGCCAATGACGACAAATCTAGTACAACAACTTCAACGCTGACACTTGATTGAATTGTTACCTACACCAGCTTTACAAACTGAACATGGCCATCGTCCAGTAGCTGTGGATTGGATGAGTTCCTCAGTGTTCATTGCTTTGGTTTTGCAGATATTGACTTTGAATCCATGATCGGCGAGTCTGGTCTTCTAATCTCCTAACATCTGTGCTGCATTCTGCTAAGACGTGGCTGTTGAAACGATATCATCAGTATATATTAAATTCCAAATGTCATTAGTGCGTATCGGTTTTGTATTTCTTCCACCACAGTTATAAATAACAGTGGACTGAGAATCGAGCCTTGGTGAACTCCAACGCCGATGTCAAATGCATCTGTGTTTCCAAAGTCTTCGTATTCGTATACATTTCCATCACAAGACAAACAAAATATTCTGGAATGAGTTGTCGACGTAGACTCCATCTCATTGCTTCACGGGGAACTCGATCAAATGCTTTTTCAAGGTCTACAAAGATGTGTGATAGTTGTTGATGCTTTACGAGGTACTTTTCTTGCAGTTGCCGAAGGATGTGAATTGCATCAATTGTTGATTTCCCTGCTAGAAAACCAAATTGATAATTTGCGATTGTGATGCACGACGTTAATCTTCTCTCAATGTATTTTCCGGACAATTTTCAGAGAGTGTTCTAACAGTTCAATGGATCACCTTTGTCTTTGTATAGCGGAACTGTCATGCTATAGTTCCATAGTTTCATTTAACAGACGGTTCTGTACCTTGATCTCATCTTGTTCAAGAACCATCTCATTTTTGTCGTTTTTGATACATGAGGCACCAACTATGTCTTTTTTCATACGCTTTGCTTGTTTTGCTATACGATACAGAGATTTCATTTGTTCACCTTTGTTTTTAGTGAACCACTCTCTGCACTGATCTGTCCGAGCCAGTGCGACTTGACGTCTTGCATAGTTGTTCTTCTCACGGAAAATTTTATGGTCATCAACAGACTTTGATTTTTGCCATTGCTTGTAAGCAGCTTTCTTTTCAGCTACCAGTGGGTTAACTGTGTGGCGACAATCTGTTGAAATTTTTCTCGATAAATATTGCTTTTCAGCTTCCACGTTTTGATTCTCCGAGGCATTTGTTTAGACTTATGTTGTGACAGTTCGACAACCAGGTTTGCCACAAGGAGTTTATGTTGGGCGACACATGATTCGCCAGGTATAACTTTGACATTTTTGAATAGCCTTACGTGTTGTTGCTTGACAGCGAAGAAATCAATTTGCGTGGCTGATGGTCCACTTTTGTATGTTATGAGATGTTCCAACCTCTTTCAGTAAACAAAACCTGTGACTGTCAGCAAACTCAAGGGTGCGGTTGCCATCTTCATTCCGTTCTCCATAGCCAAAACCGCCATGTACGTTGTCAAAACCATCTGTTTTCTCTCCAACGTGGCCATTGAGATCGCCTCCAATCAGGATTGTTTCAGATTTTGGTGTTGTTGAGATGGTGTCAGAGAACGCAGCCAAGAAGTAATTTTTCATTTGTTATATTGTTATATGTTTTTTTTAAAGTTAAAGTAGTATCTTGTGTTCTACTGTTGTGTGAATTTTTATTTTGAATTCATTAAATTTAAACAGAGTAATTTTATTATTATTAATTCTATGGTTTTTTTATATTTTTTTCTTATTTTATTAACTCCAACTATCGTTATATATATGTGTGTGTTTGATATTATATATATATATATATATATATATATATATAATATAGATATATATAATATAGATAATAAAATAAGTAAACACATGAACAACTTCACAAAATGGAAATATGTGAAAAAATTTAATATCAAACTTTAACTGTGATTTATTATTTTTGACGGATCAATGAAGGTATTTCTTTATTGATGTGTACTGACTTAAAAAAATGTTATAAACTTTTTTGACAAAAATTTGTTAAATTTCTATAGATTATTAATTCAAGATAGTAATAGAAAAAGTGCAAAACGTTGATTAAAAAAAATTAATATTAAAAGCAATTAAGTAAGCACTGTTATATGCTTCCCGCTTTGCTGCTTTGGGCCTTTCTTTTATCTTATTTATCTATCTTATTTCTTATTTGGTCTTCTTACTTATCACAAATTCTCTTTTCACTTTCTCCATCGTGACATTTTTTATTAAAAAAATTAAAAAATTAAAGTATACAAAACTAACTTTTTCTTTCATAAACTTGATAAATTTTTAAAAAGTTGAAACCCGAAAACTGCTGTTTGACGCCCCGACCATCATCAGTCGACATTTCCGGTTGCTAAGTGAACATAAACATACGCAATTGATAGACAGGCTGCGTTTTTAAAACAACATAGCTGCTTTAGGACAATATTTTCGCAAAGCCATCGAACGCACCCGCGTACATTTTTAGTGCGCATTAGAGTCTGGCCTTATGTTGTAGGTTTTATGAACAATTATTTACTAAACTCAACAAATGTTACAATTGTCACGTTTTTATACCTTATTAAATAAATATTTACTTATTTTTAAAAAATTTTGTTCATTTTATTTTAAATTAATTTATTTCATGCATTTGCATGATATTTCAACGTATTTAGCACCATTTTTCTGGTTTAAGCATAGTCAAGTTGGTTTAAAATCGTCGTGCTTTCTGAAAACCATATACTTAAGAAGTTTGATTATTATTATGAAGCATATTTGTAGAATCATATGATGTAAAATAAAGCGAATGAACCATATACTTGGAATAAAGTGAAATGTAATTTTTTTTTATAAGAGGGTTATACTTTCCCTTGTTTCATGTACCTTTATTATTGCAGCTCTGACATACGCAGAACCACTTACAATGTTACAGATATATATCATCTATATATCTTTATTATGTTCTTCATTGTTTCAAATAAAAAACTTCTTTGTTTGTTTTTAATATAATTGTTTATTAAAGAAACGTTAATTGAAATATTAGAAGACACGTTAGTCGACAAAAAGCGAAAACCATACACGTGCAAGTTAGTCAAGTTAGCAATAATATAAGATTGTCTGAAACTATGGAAAGTCATAAATATATTGAAACATATATAATATACATATATATTATTTCAATACTTTCCCTTGTTTCAAAACGTTTTATGACATTAGTCCCATATGTCCACACAGGAGTTTCAGTCTGACTCTGTCCAGTGACTTTGTCATCACATCAGCGACTTGATCTCTTGTTGAAATTTGTGTGATATCAACCGTTCCATCTTGAATTTTTTCTCTAATAAAAAAGTTCTTCAAGTCAATGTGTTGTGTTCGCCGATGAAATTGTGGGTTCTGAGCTAAATTGACTGCAGCACTGTTGTCAACTTGCAAGATTGGCACATCTTTCAAATCAACCTGTAATGATTTGAATAATCTTTGAAGCCAAATTGTTTCTTTGACAGCCTCTGTCGCAGCGATGATCTCAGCCTCTGTTGTAGATGTTGCAACTATGGCCTGTCGTTGACTAATCCATGATATTATGCCTCCTGCATATATCACTGCAATACCTGTGGTCGAACGTCCAGTCTTTCTACAGCCTCCAAAATCTGAATCACTGAAACACTGTAAAACTTCTTTTGTACTGTCTGATCTGTACACAATGCTCTGATAGATTGTTCCTGCTAAGTATCTAAGCACTCGTTTTGCTTTTATTATATCTCCTGGTGTTGGGTTCTCGAGGGAGCGTGATAAATAGCTAATGCTGTACGCAATGTCTGGCCTTGTACCTAACACCAGGTACATTAATGCTCCAACTGGTTGTCGAAAAGAGAATTCTGAACCTGCTATGTCTGATTGATTATTATCATTTTCTTTAAGCATTGGGGTGTGAACTGGTTTACATTCTTCAAATCTGAAAAGTTTAAGAATTTTCCTTGTATAACCAGATTATCAGATTAATATTATCATCTAAACCAGCACGACGCAGGATTTCGATAGATTTAGTCTGAAGGACCACATCAAATTTACCGAAATCTTGCGTCGTGCTGGTTTAGATGATATAAAGGACGAATGCCGGCAACACCGTCTGCGGTGGTTTGGTCATGTCAAACGAAGTGGAAACAGTGCCATAACTTCTCTTGCAGATGTTAAAGTACCTGGCACACGTCCCAAAGTCCGTCCAAAGAAGTCCTGGTCGCAAACAATCGAGCAAGACATGAAAGCTCTAAATTTAAACAAAATGGATACAACTGATCGTCTAATTTGGCGCAAAAAGTTGATGGCAAAGAAAACAACGTCCTACCTTGGGAAACCGGGTCTCTGGACGCAAAACGAAGATGGATTGAACCAGATTGACAACCTTTTATGCTTCCATCCAATAGAGTTTCTATTTGAAGACCTAGAAAATATGTTGCAGGTTTAACTGTAACCTGAAATTTCAGCTTCAATTTTCCAATGAATAGATCTAAATCTTCTGTGTTGCTAGCGGCTGCCAGTCCATCATCAACATACAATGCTAACATCATAATGTTTTCATTCTGTTGTTTAACATACAGACATGGATCCGCTCCACTCGACTTAAAGCCACATTCAAAAAGAAACTTGCTGAAGCATTGATTCCAACAACGAGGTGCTTGCTTTAGACCATACAGACTTTTGACCAATAGACAAACTTTATTTGAGCCATCTTTATATCCTTCTGGTTGTTTGATGTGGATCACTTCATCAAGTTCACCATACATGAATGCAGTTGATACATCAAATTGAAGAAGATGCAGTTTTTCACTTGCTGCAATACTTAGTACAGAGCGAACTGTAGTCAACTTTACTACTGGACTAAACGTCTGATTGTAATCTACATTTTGTCGTTGAGAAAATCCTTTTGCCACAAGTCTTGCCTTGTATCTATCTACACTTCCGTCTGGCAAGGTTTTTATTTTGTAAACCCATTTACATGGAATAACTTTAGCTCCTCTGGGTAGCTCACAAAGTTCCCAAGTTCTATTTTTGTTTAATGAATTAATTTCATTATTCATGGCATCATTCCAATATTTACTTTCCCTGCTTTGAATGGCTTCTTCGTATGTATCTGGTTCATGTACATCTAATAAATATGTCTCAGCCTGCATCACATAATCATCTAACTTCTTAGGTTTCTGCAAGCTTGACCTATCTCTGAGTTGAACTTTAACTGAATTATCTATAATCTTCTCAGTGTCATCTGTAATTTCTTCTTTTGAATCATCATTTCTACTACTCGAGTCATTTTCTGATTTGCAATTGATTTGAGGATCTGTTGCAAAATCTTTTTGAGTCTGATGTTCAAATGATGTTGTACATTTCATAGGTTTTTCTTGGAAAACTACATCTCTTGAGAATATCATTTTATATTGATTTTTGAGCCATATACGATAGCGTTCGTCACCATCGTAACCAACAAGGTAACCTTTTATGGCTTTCTTATCCATTTTTTGACGTTTTTGATCAGGTATGTGAACAAAACATGTAGAGCCAATTATTCTCAAATAGTTAATTCTCGGCTTTTTACCTGTCCAAATTTCAAATGGGCTTTTATCTTCAATCGACGACTTGCCTGTTCGATTAAATAAATATACTGCAGTTGAACATAATTCAGCCCACATAGCGACTGGAAATTCAAAATCTGGATTTGAGTACTTCAATGTGCGTGCCATTTCTACTATTGTTCTGTTTTCACGTTCACTACCACCATTTTGTTGAGGTGTATATGGTGCTGTTAGTCTTTGCGTGATTCCATGGCTGCGCAGGATGTTTCGGACTTCTTCGTTGTCAAACTCACCCCCATTGTCACTCAAAAATTCTTTTACTTTATGACCTTGAGTCGCTGCTTGAGACAAAATATTTTGTAGTGCCTGTTTCACTTCATTTTTGTGTCTAAGAAAAGAAATGAACCTCATTTTGCTGAAATGATCTTTGAAAACGACAAAATATCGTTTACTATTAAATGATTCTGTACTGAAAGGACCACAAACATCTGCTGATAGTAGTTCACCTGGTTTATTGGTTGCATTTCTCTTGCCAAATTTTAACCGATGTGCTTTACCATAGAGACATGGTTCACACAAATCCTTGTCAAGATGAACTTTAATGTTTAACTCCTTTTCTATAACATTCTTTATGTGACGGTTATCTTGGACCAAAACGTTCATGGTAGAGCTGCACTATTGAATTTTTACTGACTATATTCACTTCAGCCGGTGTCTCTGGAGTTAATGAAATCAAGTTTACCTCATACAAGAAACCATCTACTCGTCTTGTCCCTTGTACTACCACTCGGTTCTTTATACTGAGTTGACATTTGGTTGCATAAGATTCAAACTTGCTGTTTTTTGAATTTTTATCTTGTGCGGCTAATATGGAAAACAGGTTTCTACCTATATTTGGCACATACCAGACATCTGAGAGTTGTCTCTCAGTGTTTGAGTTTGTTATTTATTTGTTATTTATTTACAGCATAATTATTTCGCCTCTACCCACAGCAGCAAGAACTTCTTTTCCTGCAGCTTGAACAGAATATGGTGCGACAAACTTCTCAAAAGTAACAAAATTATCTGGATTGTTCGTTAGGTGCTTTGTTGCTCCATTTTCAATATACCACTTAGTGTTGTCTCTCAGTGTTTGATTACTGGCTGACGTGCACAAACTACATTTGATGTTTCATCATATTGTTATAATACTCGTAACCGATTTACGACGCGACGGGTTCAAATCTTCGATTGAATAAAATACTCCAAACAGTTATTAGTTATTAAACTTTGTTTACAGAAGAAATCAACTAATCGTTTATTTCTAGCAAATTCAAATTAACGCAATAATTAACTTTTAAATTGTTCAAAATCTATCGCTATGACAACGTCAATAAAACAAATCAAATATCGCTTTAAATAATTCACCGAATCGCTATTTACAAAATCACGAATTTCACTAATCACGTATTTCACTAATCACGGATTTCACTAATCGCTAATCTTCTTGCGACGTGCGCTCCTTATATACTCTTCGCAAGTGTCGTTTCTAGATTCTTCTAGATGGTCCGATTCTAGCATATTCTAGAATGTTCACGGTTATAACATTACCCCCTTCTTAGTTCTGTTCGTCCCGAACAGCTTTCGTTCCGGTGTCCGCATGGTACGGAGCCAGTCTATCCAAATGAACGATCTTCATTCTTGCTCTCGGCTTCCGATATTTCTGAATACGGTAGACGACGTCATTCAAGCGGGTGATGACTTGATAAGGTCCTTCCCACCCTTGCTGGAGCTTTGGAGAACGTCCTTTCTTCCGCTGTGGGTTGTACAGCAAAACCGCCACTGCTTCCTTTCAAGTCGTATCTGGTTTTGGCCGCCTCCATGTTTTTCATAATTTTAAGGCGTACGTAACGGTGGATATGGTTTAATCGTTGTCGAAGATTATCCACGTATTCTGTTAATGGTTGGTGTGGTTCAGGTGGTACGCCATATTTCATATCAGCTGGAGTTCTTAAGGTAGTCCCAAACAGAACTTTTGATGGCGTTTCTCCAGTAGTTGTGTGGATAGCACTCCGGTATGCCATAAGAAACAATGGTATATGACGATCCCAATCCCGTTGATTTTCGTCGACTACTTTAGCCAGATGTTCAATCAGGGTTTGGTTAAATTGTTCCACCATACCGTCAGACTGTGGGTGAAGAGGTGTCGTTCGAGTTTTGTTTATACCCAGCAGCTTGCACATTTCACCAATCAGTTGTGACTCAAAATTTCGACCTTGATCTGAGTGGAGTTCTAATGGGACACCATATCGACTAATCCAATTGAGTACAATTTCCTCAGCGACAGTACATGCTTCTTGGTTGGGTATTGGAAACACCTCAGGCCATTTGCTGAAATAGTCCGCTACAACCAGAATGTAACGGTTTCCTTAATCTGATACCGGAAAGGGTCCAGCAATATCTATAGCAATCCGTTCAAAGGGGACACCAACATTGTAGATTTGCATTGCTTCTTTTAGCCTTCTTTTGGGTCCTTCGACTGAAGCGCATGTGTTACATTTTCGACACCACCTCTCTACATTTTCTCTAACGTGAAGCCAGTAGAATCCTTCTCGTATTTTGTCAAGGGTCTTGTTCACTCCTAAATGTCCCCCAGAAGGGCCGCCATGCATTTCATCAAGGATTTCGGTCGTTCTACTTCTTGGTATTACAACTTGCATGCGGTGTTTTGATCCATCAGCTGATTCCCATTTTCGTTTCGTTTCCCTCTAAATACAAAGAGTCCCACCTTTAACACGGCACTATATTCTGAGATGCTTTGCCAGTCCGGTCGCTTGCCCTCCTTCTTCCATGTGATCAGATGTTGTAGGTCCTCATCCGCAAACTGTGCATCAGCAAGATCCGTCGGTGTCCAACCGTCATCCGCTGATATTGTTGTTGCCCTTATGTCTTCCGATTGTATCTTCTCCTCGTGACGACAGCAATATTTGCATCCTGGTAAACATGGTCGACGTGAGAGAGCATCAGCATTACTATGAGTTGTTCCTCCGGTAGCTGTTCGAAGGATGTATTTGTTAGAAGTCTCTTTCTTCAGATTGGGTACCAAATCAGATCTTAAAATCGATTTTGTTGCTCCGGTGTCGACTGTAATTACACATTCTCGTTGATCAACTTTTCCGTTCAGCCATAGGTCGTTTCGATTTCGATGTAGTCTGGAAACGTTAATTACGGTACTGGGGGCGTCAATTCTACTAGCCAACCTCTGCCCCACAAAGTTGGCTCTTATTAGTTTTTCCGCCCCTTCTAACGAAGGGGCCGATCGTGATACAGGATCATCTTCTCTTCTTTTGCGCCATCTTGTCGCGCAATTTCGGCAGTAGATATCTTTTAGGCGGTGTTTACAATCACGACGTAGATGGCCTTTTTCACCACAAATCCAGCATTGGGGTACACCATGCTGTTGGGGTTCGCGTTTCACAACCACCTTCTGGCAAGAGCATTCTTCATGTACTTGGCGTAGACGTACGTCACTTTTTGATGCTTGCTTTGCCGATTCAAAAGTGAGACTGTGCGCAACGGCATCCTTGAGTTTTCGTTTATCTGACAAGAGAAGGGATTGCTTGAGTTCCTAATCACGAAGGGCTTTGATAAACGTATCCAGGGCAGTTTCGTCTCTATGCTCGGGGTCTGATGTCGGATACGACAGCAATGTCAACCGTTCGATATCTTGTGCCAGCTGCTGAATGGATTCACCAGATCGTTGCGTTCTGTTTCTAAGCTGAGACCAATAAATCTGTTTCATGTGTTCTTCACCATAACGTAAATCCAACGCACTAACCAGAACTTCATAGTTGAAGTGGTTCTCCGCCGGAATCGTCTGAAGAACCTCTGCTGCTGAACCTCGCAGGGCCAGTATCAGTGCTGTTGCTCGTTCTTTTCCGTTCCAACAGTTACTAGCTGCCGCTGCTTCGAACTGGGTTTTATAAACGTTCCAGGACATCTCTCCGTCAAATGCTGGTACCTTCAAAGTTCTTCCGGATGCGTGATCTAACGGCATGGCCATTTTTTTGGATTGCTCCAATTCTCGCTTCAATTTGTCTATCTTGTGATCTACCTCAACGGTCTGACGATCAAGTTTCTGCTCGATCATTTCTATTCTTGTTGACTGTTTTTCAATCTGTTCTGCCACTTCCAATTTTACGTGTTTTAGCTGGTCCTTGATCTGCTTTAACTCCTCTGTCTGTCGTTCGAACTGTTCTTTGATCTGTTCGAACTGTTCCTTGATCTGTTGTTTTATTTCAGTTGACATACTAAGCAGAAGTTCCATCATTTTAGCGGTTGTAAACGTGTCTGTGCTAATTTCATTGTCTTCGTCAGCACCATCAAACTTGAATTCGTCTAGGTTCTTACCTTCGTCAATGAGAGCTTCTTTCAGACGTGCTACTAGTACTTTTTTGTTGCCACTTGTGACAAGGCTTCGTTTCTGTAGTTCTTTTCGTAGCTGAACTACGTTCAAACCACACAGTTTTGACATCGTGTTCTTTTTCTATGAGTAGTAATTCGCTGGTCGAAGATCCCACTTCTGACATCAATGTTATAATACTCGCTGTCGTAACCGATTTACGATGCGACGGGTTCAAATCTTCGATTGAATAAAATACTCCAAACAGTTATTAGTTATTAAACTTTATTTACAGAAGAAATCGGCAAAACTTTACATTAGTGCCTCAATGCAAACAAAATTCGAGATAATAAGTGAAAGTGAGAGTAGGTTAAAGCGTTAATATGTCTAAAAGTTAATTGATATTAAGACTATTAAATATTAGAGTTATAAAATTATTTATGATTTAAAGTGAAATACTGAAAATAATTTTTAAATATAGTAAAATATAACATCTTTTTAATAGTCATCAATTATTTAATAACTTTTTAGCGTTAAAATCGTAATTTTGGTATGCTTTTAAAGATAAAGTTTTTACATTGTAGGCATTAAAGTAAACTCACATGCTTGCATGGTTATGTGCAGTTGACATTAAAATAAACTTCATGCATTTATTTGCACGAAATTTAACATATAAAACTTAACATGAGGCATTAAAATAAACTTGTAAGCATATATCTGCACGAATTTTAACTTATAAAACTTAACATGAGGCATTAAAATAAACTTTAAGCATTTATTTGCATGAATTTTAACATATATGAAACTTAACATGTAGGCATTAAAACAAACTTCCATGCCTTTATTTGCACGTATTTTAACATATAAAACTTAACATGAGGCATTAAAATAAACTTGTAAGCATATATCTGCACGAATTTTAACTTATAAAACTTAACATGAGGCATTAAAATAAACTTTAAGCATTTATTTGCATGAATTTTAACATATATGAAACTTAACATGTAGGCATTAAAATAAACTTCCATGCCTTTATTTGCACGTATTTTAACATGTATATTACCACTGTTAATTATTATTAGATTTATAAAAAATATTGATGATTTGAAATGAAATACTAATAGTGAAAATAAGTTTTAAAAATATAAAATTAAAACATATTTTTAACTGTCTCAATAATTTAATAACTTTGTAGTTTTAAAATCGCAATTTCGGCATGCTTTTAATGAGAAGTTTATATACATTGTAGGCATATTGTTGCATCTTTTCGTACGGTAGGCATTAAAATAAACTTACTTGCAGTTATTTGAAAGTGTTTTAGCATGTAAATTAACTAGCAGGTATTGAAATAAAGTTCCGTGCATTTTTTGCAAGCAGTTAAAAACAAAATTAACCACGTAGGCATTAATGTATACTTCTATGCATCGTGACGCGTAGACACCAAAATTAACTGACAATATTTGAATAAAAGCGTTTAGGTAGTAATTTCTTATTTTATTATATGCTTCCACGATGTTTAAAATTATATTTTTTCGAGCCATGCTTAGCAGGTAGACTTCGTTCAGAAGAGTGGCCCTGAAAAGAGCCGTTTAGTTTTCAGAAGGGTGGCCCTGAAAAGGGCCGTTTAGTTGTCATCATCATCACCGCCATCAGCATCATCTTTATCAACAGATGTTTATTTTTTTTCTGATGTGGACAATAATATTTCCAAACGGCATCTGGCCATAACGTTCACGCCAAACAAATTCTGCCAAGTGAGTGGGCCTGAGGTTTTTCGAGGTACCATACATGTATTTCATCTTTATTTTCAATCTAGCCCACAATGATTCCACATTTTGCGTGTGAGCCAATGGATTTCTCTGGTTAACAAAATTTTGGTAATGATTGACGGTCCAATGGATGTAGCCCGCTGGCTGTAGGCGCGCCATTCATCGGAAACTATGGTTGTTCCTGGTGCAATCCATTTTGCTATTAATGGTAATAGCGTTTGTGCATCCCGGGCCTGAACCTCCTCCATAAAGCAATGTCTGGTACCTCGTTCGATCCCGCCGAAAATCCAACCTTCTCTCGAATTGACGTTTCTCCCTCATTGAAATTTAGCCTTAACAATTCTTGACTCGTCAATTTCAACAATTGTTCCTGGGCCACCTATAGGTACAACTTGATCTACGCATTTGTAGATACAAATGTCACGGCAAAAGTTGTACCAATCAATTACAGTCTTTGTGCTCAGCTGCAACTCGCGACATGCTGTTTTTACCGGTGTGCTCCAAGCCCAATAGTAAATTAAACGAACCAACAAGCTTAATTGAACGTGACTCTTTTCAAAGAAGGAATCTTTCCGTATGGTGGTTCTTTTTTGACAGCCATGAAGAGGACAGCGCCGAATTACGCCATCAACGCCCGGTTGATAAGGAATTTCAGTCATATCACTGCCGCAATTGTCACAGATCATTTCTTGATACAACAACCCGTTCAGTCTGAGCCATTGCCTTGTCTCCCGTTCGTCCTTCAGGACCAGATCCGCGACCGTCAACGCATTAACCCTGTCTACCTGATTCATGATAAAAAAAAAAGGAACTACAAAATAAACAAACTTGAGATAAAGCGCCAAATCAAATGACTCGGAAGTCGCGATATAGATTTTTGGAAGACGAAAATTCAAATATTTTAAAAATTTCATTTTTGTTCGATAAAATTATTTTGGTTACTATATTTTTGAAAACATTTATTAGAAATTGTTATAATTTGAATTTAAAATTTTTATATAATTTTATTATATATTCAATTTTAAATAAGCCAATCAATTTTGAAAAATTATTTCCTAACATTACATTTTGGAAATAAAAATTTTAATTCATGTTATATATTTATCTATAACAATAATTAATAAAAAAAAGTTAAACCTGAACAACAATTTGTTTATTTAGCGTTATTAATATAAATTCACTCTAATTCATTTAGCGTTATTAACATAAATTCACTTTTACACCTATTTGCGTAGTATTCAATACCCTCCATTTACATCACTCTCTCGATTTTTTGTTTGCATTGAGGCGCTAATGTAAAGTTTTGCCAAGAAATCAACTAATCGTTAATTTCTAGCAAATTCAAATTAACACAGCAATTAACTTTTAAATTGTTCAAAATCTATCGCTATAACAACGTCAACAAAACAAATCAAATATCGCTTTAAATAATTCTCCGAATCGCTAATCACAAAGTCACGAATTTGCAAAATCACGAATTTCACTAATCACGGATTTCACTAATCGCTAATCCTCTTGCGACGAGCGCTCCTTATATACTCTTCGCAAGCGTCGTTTCTAGATTCTTCTAGATGGTCCGATTCTAGCATATTCTAGAATGCTCTAGTGCGTTCGATAGCACGGTTATAACAATATAATTGTTTATTAAAGAAACGTTAATTGAAATATTAGAAGACACGTTAGTCGACAAAAAGCATACACGTGCAAGTTAGTCAAGTTAGCAATAATATAAGATTGTCTGAAACTATGGAAAGTCATAAATATATTAAAACATATATAATATACATATATATTATTTCAATATTCATATCTTCAACCAATGATATGAAGAAGCCATCTTTCGCCCCAAAAACTGTTTATCCTTTTTACACGACGTACACATGTATTTTATGTGCACGCGCGAGCACCGCATCATATACGCTGAGTATATGATAGCCCAGTGGCGTCACCCGGTGCGGTAACTCATGGTGTCACCCCTCTCATGACACCCCATAGACATACAGCATTCTTAGCAAAATTTATAAATACGAACAAGTTAAATGTGCTCGGCCGCGGCGCTTAATAATTCGGACGTCGAATTTGAATGGTATAAATGTCGAATACAAAAATGATTTGAACGAAAAAAATTTTATTCATAATACATTTCTGGGCGCCGGGCGGGTTAGGCTGAATTAATGATAAGAATAATTTCATGGAGGGACATAAAAACATATACAGTGATATTTTGGTGTCACCCCCTGTGAGGGTGTCACCCGGTGCGGTCCGCACCCCCCGCACCCCCCTAGTGACGCCACTGTGATAGCCATTGAGATGTTTGACTCAGCACGCCATTGAACCACTGAGCCATCTCGCCGGCCAACATGCGACAACTTACGTCGTCTACCCATTTACTAACCTCGAAAGGATGGACGGCTGGGTTGACCGGGGGTCGGCTACCCGAATGAATCG